TGCCTTAGATAACACGATGGCATTGTTTCAATATTACAGAAAAATTGCTATTATTTGATGACAATCATTTTTTACTCATTTTACTACCTATTCGGGAATTCTTGACAATCATCGCTAAATTTCATATTTCGAAATTTCAACTCCTTCTGGATTGTTACATGTTATATCCATCGGTTCTTATTTTATCATCTTTTTTTTTCTGTTCTTTAAAACTCTGAAAGCATTATTATTGTCTTTTTTTATTTTAGGCTAACTTTAAGCTTTGAATGATCAATATTGTTTGCACATTTATATTTCATAGTGCTGGCAGTAAATAATCTATTCTTTCATGTTGCTTCTCTCTAATGTTAGAATTTACCGTTAAAATCTTGCTTCAACGAAATTATATCAGATTTTATCAGTGCAAACTTTGAGTGACCATTGCTATATGTGTTTTAATGTTTAGAAAAAAGCAATTTATTTTAAATATTATCTGGAACAACTACCATTTTTCATTCGATCTTATTCACTGGGCAAATCTTTTACTAATTTTAATTTCGTCTTATGTAAAGTATCTACAATTTAAACAAATTACTGCTTTACTTTCTTTATCGCTCTGAACATTCTGATATTTTTTAGTGATATATGAAGTTAGAAAGATGTGAAAAAAATAATATTGAGTTTCGAATTAAACTCTTCGATGAGCAATGCATTCATCCTTCTCGTTGCTGACATTTCTTCCGTTTTTCCATTCAACAATCATTTCCTGAAATTACATTTCATCTTCCCATTCCATTTATCCAATCTTCCATTATTCAATTCTTGTAATTCATTTCATGAAATCATTTTTTCTTTTCTTTGAACAGAAACCATTCATCAAAATTCTCGTTAAATTTTATCTTTTTCATTTGGTTTCTTGCGGTGTGGAATATTTCGCATTCATTTTAACAGCCAGCGATCAGAATTGCAATTATTTGTTGCGTTACAAATGACGAATATAGTTCTCTTAATAATTTTGTTTTCTTATTTGCTAGTCATATTCAATAAAATAATTTCGAATTTTACATTCATAAAAATGAATTGATAACTGAAGAAAATTTTCTTCTTTGTTTCTTTCTTCGCCAAACGCTTTCTTTTATTTTCTAATGTCATATTTTGTCTGAAATCAATTGCACTTTTCACATTCACAAAGTTTAATTACAGGTCATTGTGCAGCGCTCTTCTCCCTCCATTTATGTAATATAATTAATTGTAAGCAATATTTGATAGTTTGAACTTTGGAACTCTCAACTTTTCCTTCTCTGTTATTGTATATTCCGATCAAATTACCTTTTGCACGTCATTATTGTTGTTCTTTTTGGAAAGAGCAGAAGTATTATAAGGTTGTTGTCACAGATCACTATGGTGACATGCCCTTCCAATTTCCTAATTCTTTAAATTATTATCCCTGCAAAATTCTTCTCTTAATGATGCATCCAATCAATACAGTAATAGTTCCCGTAGCTATTGAGAGTGATACTAAAAATATTTATTCATTGCATTGTTGAAGAGTTCTCTGAAACGGACAGATCCTGTCATTAATTAGATCTTATCAGGATAACAATGCTTACTGCGTTCATTGAGAACTGTTATCATAAACAGATCATGAAAAAATTTAAAAGATTGCAAAAAATTTTTAAATTTAATAAAATTCATTTAACTTCTTTTATCTGAGACATCAACAAAATCATTCCTCATTTGCTATAATTTCTGCTTACACATTCCGCTTCTGGAATGTCGATCATTGCTGACCATATATGATGGTCATTATAGTAACAGTGATATCAGCCGTGATTGGAGTAGTAATCTGATATGATTGTTTAAGGATTGATATTTTGATCGATAATGTTTGAACGAATATATCATTCATTCGGGAAAATTTGTTTTCAGAGAAGTGGTAGGGAAAAATAATAACGAGGCATGAATTTCTTCAAACTTGAAATCTTTCATTTCATCCTTTTCCTTTCAATTAAAGTTCCAAAAGTTCACATATGAAGAAAATGAGTTCAAATTTGACTTAAACAAATAAGGCATCATATTTCAAATCTTATATCATTAACTTCACAAATTCTAGAAATTTGAAATTCCTACAATTGCATGCTATCTAAGTTATCATAGAAAAAAATAAAAACCTATCATTAAATGATAAGTTTTTATTTTAACATTCTTCTATTCTATCTATTATTGTTTTCTGTATTATTATTACAATTGATATAACTTCAATTATCTAATAAGCAAAAATAAGCTAAATCATCTATATTTCTGAAATGCTGTAAATTAAGAAATATGGGATTTGTTTATAGCTATTTAAATCGCTTTGTTTGGAGCATTTAATGCTTCCGAATAGGATAAAAACATGAACTAGGTTAAAGTTCACACTTACTTTATAAATGAATGTTAAACTTCGAAATGTAAATTTAATTTATCTAATCGACCAACATCTTTGCTTAATGATAATAGAATTTTTTCGTTTTCATTTGAATTTTCCTACAACTCTATAATAAATTGACATTGTTGCATGCTTAAAATGAAATCATTTTTTTAATTTCCACTTTTATTGTCAATAAAATAATTGTCATTATACAATACTTTTTCAATAGGAAATCAATGATATTTATAACAAACATGCTGACAATCAGCCAAACGATTTGCTCTATTCATATTACATTTTAAATTTTTATTATTTCTCTGATAAATTATATTTTTATTAATCCTCCCAGTCGAACTGTCGTCCTACATTCAGCATTTCATGAGAGCTTTTTATTCCCATTTTGACTGTTCGTTTCATCTCTGTCTGCTTTTACTCTGTTGAATATTCCACGGCATCATAAATCATTTTGAATAAGAATTATGGGTTACGTTTATAACGCACTATTCGCATTTATTACTTTTGTTAAATTGAAATTCATCGAACTTCTTTTATCTGGCTGTAAAAGCAATCCATTGTATGTCTCATTTTTTGGATGATAAGTTAGTAAAAACAGACTTACTTAATCTTATTTATTGATTTAATAAATTAGCCGAATTATTGATTAAAATGATAACATATAAATGCTATTTGACTTCACTGATTTGTATTTTCTATTTTTCACAGTCTTTTACTAGATTTACTTTTTTTTAGATGGACTATGAGTCCCCGACGAAGGAAATTGAGCAAGAAGAAATCATCGAGCATTACGTGACCAAATCACGTCGATTACCTGGCACCAGTGGTTCACGTGTTCCGTTGCAAGAAATTCTAACGGAAACAATTGGACGACGACACAATGGAGAATTACCAATTCATGATTTTTACCGCATATCACAAAATTCCTTACAACCAACTTCATCGGTACTTAATAATGAAGCGGAACGAAGGTTACTTCACCACTTCTCCTTTCATCAAATATTGTTAAATTAAATGATATAAATTCTTTTCTCAGCTATTCTTTATCACTTCAAGTTATTGATATCTTCTTTCCAAATTCTCTTCTGTTTTTCAATTATTTAACATCTCTTTTTAAAATCTCTTTCAATCAGTTGTCATTTCAGATTTTATGCAACCGGTGAAAGAGATTGCAGTAGGGATGCGTCCTTTATGCAAACATCAGGTATTGTTAGCATTTTCTTGGATTATTGTTAAAATGAATAGCATTTAAATGTCTTATAGTTATGCAAACAAATAGGCCACTTCGATTTATCCTCAAAATTGACTATACAAATTTTAAATGTTTCACTGTAATAATTTTTACAATTCTTAGCAATTAATAATAGTTTTGTCTGTGTAATTTGATATAAGAAATTGTTATGTTAAAAGAAGCAAACAAAAAACGTTTAATTCCTGCTGGAATTCTTTTAAAAAGTTTCAATTTTAAGATTTATTGATTAAAAAATCGCTTACATGTTATCATAGCTGCTAGTGATTTTTATTAATTTTGTTTACTTAACGTCGCTGACTATTCGCTTGACCATCGATTACATCGAACACCAAACAGTTTCATCTCATATTCAAACTAAAATCACCGATAATTTCACTCTTTCATCTCTTCTCACACTTCTATTCCCATCTTTGATAGAGAAAAAAATTGCTTTTGTTTCAATTTTTCATGGCTTTAAAATGCGAAAATAAATAAGTGATATTATTAAACTAACAATCGTTGTACCGTTAGATTGATAGTGAATTAGTTAGGACCTTTTCCGTTTCCTTTTTCTGGGAAAACTGACAGTAAGAAGAACGAAAAAGAATTTAATTTATTTCGTTATTTTGCAACATCGAAAATTTTTCTAGCAAGTAGTTAAATTTATCTTAACATTTATCATTTGTTGATTTATTCCCTTCATCTTTTGCATCTCATTTGTTTTATTAATTATATATCTCATTAATCATACCTAATTTCCCATTATGATTTTAATTTCTTAATGATTTTTTCCTCACCTCCTGTTCTCTATTTTTACGCATTCAAATTCAGTATCTAACAGCGAAATATAATTAGGAAAATTTATAATTTTTTCAATCTCTCATTAGTCATGTATTCCGAATTTTACTTGCGAAAAAATCTACAATTTGCTTTGAACCTCATTTTTATCTTTTGAAAAAAATTTAAAGTTTTTATCAAATTTTCTAATGAATTTGAATATGTAATTGAAGGAGTTACCAAACCTATCATTCATTTCATATTATTACAATTCTGCACTACAAACTTTTCACGTAAAATTTAGATTATAAAATAACTTACATATTCAATTTTAATATTCCAACTAGTTTTTATTTAAAATAAATCAAACTACAAGGAGAAATACTTACATCATATATTTGTACTTGTATACAGCTGAATTAGATTTATGGATGGATTTTCAAAATTTCTTACATTTTATAATTTATACAAAATGGGGGAATTGAGTTGTTCTAAAATGATCGGACAATTATACGAATTTTAATTTTAAAATAAATGTAAAAATCATTATGTCAAAAAAATTATTGCATGAATAGAGAAATGAAGATAGTTTTATTGAAGATTTTTGAATTTTAGTTTTCTCTCCGAAGATGTTCTCCAAAACTTCTTGAATACTTGCACTATCTCTCTTTCTTCATATTTATTTTCTTCTTTCTTTCTTCCCTCAGTATTTTTCTGAACTGCTATTCAGAGAAGAAATAAAATGTGTAAAATTTTGTTTCATTACCTTGTTGGTCTAACATAATTTTGTTAATTTAACCTAAAAAATATTTTTATTGCCAACTGATTCACTCCTTTGATCGTACAATATGGAAAACTATCAATAAAAAGTAAAAGAGAAATTTATTGCCTTATTCAATATTATAAAGAATCCCAATACGATTAAGCGAGAAAGATATAAGCTTATCTGATCATTTATAGTCTAAGACAATTTTGAAAATTAAATTCAAATCTAAAAAATATTGTTACTGCTAACTGACTCACTTTTTTTATCATCAATGTTGCAAGCATATCATTAATGAGTAGCATTTTTTCTTGATTTATAAGATGAAAAGAAATGAGAAGAGTAATTATAGGATTATCACCTGGCAGTCAAATGGAACCAGCAAATGTGCCAATACCATACCTAAGGTTATCTGATAATTTGGATCACTCTATCGCGAATATTCATTCCTATGGATATGATGTTCATGAAGTCCATACATCAGGTCAGCTTATTTATTTGAATTTAATATTTTGAATTATAATTATACTTAAGTTTACAACAAATCAAATTATAATATCTTGTTTTGCTTATGATTTTAAAATATACGTTTTTAGCATTTCTAAAATATCGCAATTATTATTCTATTTTTGCTAAAATTTAAACTTCGATTCAATTTTGAATTAATCTTGTGAAATATTCATTACAGAGGGTGGTGCACGAATAGTGCAAACGCATGGAACAGGCCTCCTCCATGATGATGGATCAGCAATACAGCAGATGGAGCGAAGCCTAAATGAACAACGGATACGTAGCGATAGAAGTGTCGAACATCAACGGACGACGTTGATCGAAGAACGGAGCGAAGAAAAACGTTCTCGAATTCCCTCATCCTTGAAATCTAGTCACAAGGAAGTCGGTTTCCTTAACTCAGCAAGGTTGCATCCTATCAAAATTGAAATATTGAAAATTTTCTCCCCAAAATGGAAATAAACTGTCAGTAATTCTGCATAAATTCAGGTCAACGGCTAATGAAATTGGTACTGCGATTGATCATCATCGAAAAACTGTTTATACACTGCCTTTACCATCCGGTGAGAAAACGGAAACTTGGCGACGTGTTGGTACTTTACCAACAGAGAGGTTCCTTTGCTAATTAATTGCAAAGACTGAGCAGGGAGTATCTATCAAGGAATGGCAAAAATGTTTTACATATTGTTTAATTTGATTATGGTGACATCGAAACAAACACTTTCTCAGTCCTATCACCATGATCACTAATATTGTCCAAAGGATTTCTTCGAATCCGTTTGATTAAACTCACACTGTCACATTGATAAATTTAATCTGCTCCACTAATCAACATCATAACAAAAATATCAAATTGCTATTGATAATAAACAATAGCAATCACGATATTTTTACAATATATGTAATTAAATCGGCACTAATTTATTTCTAAATAATTGCTACAAGAATTTTTTAAGCAAATTCAGAGATATCCTCTTTTTGGACCTTTGTTTAGGAATTTTAATTTCATCTTTCAGTCCAATTTAGTCGGAATCTAGAAGTATAGCCTGTTTTAGTAAACTGTCTCGAAAGGACAGCTACAAACGTATGCAAATGGGACAGCAGGACGATTCAGCTGATGTTTATGCGGTATGTTGAAAATATTGTGCTAACAAAATTGCCATAATTTTAATAAGAATCTATTGGGAGAGCTTTAAAATATTTATATTTTCAAAATAATTTTAAATTACAGCCACGATCAGATGCCTCATTAATTGCCGATTTCGCAAAATCGCGTTCGCAATCATCCGATGAAATGCTCACTCCATGGCAACAAGTGGTACAATTTATGAGGAAGATTCTTTTCAGAGCAAGGTTTTCGAAATTATTTCTTAAAAAAAAGGAAAAACAATTACTTTCGACAAATTATAAACAAGAGAAAAAAGGCATACACATATGGATGGGGAATTTCCTATAAAAAATATTGCAATGACTCCTAATGACCAATACTTGGACTAGTGATAAAATGAAATAACTTACAACATAAATGTACATGAATCTCTTAGGAATATGAGTATCAATCTTTGAAATCATATGAGATAGGTATTGTATCAGTAACAATTGATATTCTCAACCATTTCTTTTCATGCATGATCCGGGTTAAAGTTATTCTAATCTGTTCTTGCAAATGTTTAAAATGCTAAATGAACTTTTTGCAGGAATACGACATGGACGCCTCGTTTGATTTGTTTTTTGTTGTTATTTTTATTTCTTGTTATTATATTTTTCATTTTACTCGGCATTATCCTAAACGCTTTATTTGGCTCTTATTCGGTAAGTAATACTTCCGGCAATATTAATATTATTTCTGTAAATAAAAACTTTCCAAACTGCAACTTTTTTTCAAATAGTTCGAATGATTTTGTCAATAAAGGAATCTGACTTGTTTTTGTTTTTTAAAAAATCGAAATTTTAAATGAAACAGAAAAGATTCTGAAATTGCAAAAAAAGAAACAAATGTTTTTCCAGCAGAATGTATCAATAATTTCTAGTTTTACGAGTGATTGCTAAATTTTGTAAACAATTTTTAGAAATAGTTTTGAAGTCACAAAAATTTTTAGTGGTCATATTCAATCATTGAAATAACTTCAAAAGCGATAATGAACATGAAGTATATCCAAAGGTCATAATAAGCTTTGCAATAATTTGTCTGTCCTTTGTTTATTATATAAAAATTTTTTCCTTTGTAACTTTATAACTTCTTCCTAAATACTGAAATTTTAACAGCTATTTTTGTTACAATTAAAATCTAAGAAAGTAACAAATTTAGGTACGAACGTTATCCTTATATCCACCAATATGCGAGAAATGTCACAATCATGTACTGAGCGGTATCAACAATCAGATTCCCAGTATACTTCATATTATCTTCTATAGTTCATCACAAGTTCACTTCGAATTGATCGGGAATTTACCATTTAGAAGTAACTCGTTCAGTGTTATCGATTTCAATACGGTACATTTTGCATTCATTTACATTCTGCTAATTTATCCACTTCAATTTATTTGTTTATAAGTTGGATTTGATGAAAATTTACAGGGTTACATAGCAATAGCGGATCATGCGTTAACTGATAGCGCTGGTAGGCATTTCATATGCTTCCTGATGCCGCTTGATCGTTCCGCTATTCCGAGTATATCAGCTCTTCGTGATGCACTTTCATCTGTAACCTCCGAGGTTATTCATTCATATTTTTGCCTACTTTTCAAACAGATGAATGAAATTTTGTAAATTTCAAATAATACAATAAATGTGATGAAACCTTCTACTCTTGGAAAATTCCACTAAAATTTTATCAAATTTTATTAATGCTCGTAAATCTCTTTTCACTTTGATGTATTGTAGATAGAAAGAAATTCGATTAAGCATTTAAGATTTATTCGGAATATGGATGGCAAGAATATTGGCAGTATAACGCAGAGCTAATCGATGCAAAAAATGTAGAACGTAAATTCACGAACAAAATTGATAATTGTCAAAGTGCAAAGTGGTATTTATTGAAACATACGGTTTATACGAGGGGTTAGTTCAGGAATTTGAGTCTTTTGGTGTCGGTATTCGCTTATTGCTAAAGTTCTTCATTTTCGATATCTAAATTGAGACATCTGCTGATTCTCATTACATATTGCGATACCTTTTATTACAGTTATCAGTTAACATTTTAACCAATATTTTACATATTTTAGATTCAAGTTGCTCGAATTGCTATGATTTTTGCTTACCAAACTACGCTATTCAACGATTGCATAAGTATGAGGATGATATGACTATCGGTATCCGACGTTTGGATTGCACCCGACTTTATATTCCGGAATGGGAAGGGTATCAATTAACACCTGACAATCAAGGTGGACATTGGTCCTATCCAAAAATTCCATTCAATACACAAAAAAATCCATTAAGAAACTGAATTAATTGCAATGTTATCAGTTAGATTGTGCAAATGGCATCGGCTAAATATAAAATGTGGATTCCACGCAAGTAAATGGTGCGTCTAATTGCCATCAATTGCCATTATCATCACAATCTCTTTCCATTCATAATGTGCTTTCCTTTTTTTCCAAGCATTTAAATGTTATAAAAGTAAATAGATCAATCTAAATCAAAATATAGGTGAAACTCAGAACAGCGTTTCCAGTTCTAGTCTTTCTTTGGCATAAATCTTGAATAATTCCTTTTCGAAAATCTTGGGAATTTTTCGAGTTTAATAAAATAATGTGACTCGCCCGATATATTGGTTACCATTATTTTTGATTAGCATTTATTAATTTTCAATTTAGAATTCCGTTTGCTAAAATTCAGTAATGCTACACAATATATTTCGTTTTGCAGTATTTCATTCCACTCTTACCGTAATATGATGTCCAAGGATTCGGTAAGGAAAAGGTAGCAAATTTTGATCTTCGACTTTTTGCTCCCAATATTATCCCATCTATTACAGATTTAAAGAGAGATTTTAAAAACTCAGATGTGCTCGCAATATAAGTCATTTCATTATTAGGTTGTGTTAACATCAAATACCAACAGTAACGTATAACTATGTATGATAAAAATATATTACATATCAAACTATAAACTACTTTGTTGTTGTTTTCCCTATTCATACGATTCGACAATCCGCTTTGCGTTCAATTGTCTTTTTTTCAATATCTTCTTTTATTAAGAGCTCATTGTAATAATGCCTATAATTTTTTATTTTAAAACTATCGAATTTTCATTGTTAATAATAGGGAATATGTTTATTGTAATATAATTTTAAATGAATTCTAACTTTATTATTGGGTAATGTTGTAGAAGTCGATAATAAAAAAATGATTTCATGTGAGATTTCCCGCCCTTAGAGGAATTGATTTTATATGCCATCTTAAGTATGAAGCATGCCGGAAGATTGTCACCAGATCAGTTGAGCAAAGATACAATTCTATTGGTACTTAACAGACAAAATCTGTTGATTCTTCTGGATGTCACATTATTCGGGACAGTTTTCAATAAAGATGTTGAGCAGAAGAAAATAAATGAATTCTATTCTTTAAGAATTTTTTTTTATTCATAAAATTTGAATCTTTCCATACAGTAACAAATTTTCTAGGATTGGCAGTTTAAAATATGTATAAAATGCACAATTTTTTATTCACAGCAATTAATTTTAGCTTCTTTTTTCTTTTCTGACAGTGTTTACTTTACTGGCGCTGAAAAAAAGCAACTCAAAAGAAGATATACGGAATTTTGGCACGTTAGAAATGATGTATCACTCCTGACATTATTCATTTAATTTATATAAAATTTTTATAATCATTTAACTTAGTTTACACATACAGGTTTGAAATGTCAAAAAAGTTTGATAAATGACTGAAATGCTTAGTGGACCGATTTGGAGGATGGAAGAAGTGTAGAAATAATTGGATAATTAATTAGCACTAGTACAAAAAATGTCGAAAAGATTTGTCCGCTAATGGCATGATTTTTAAATCACCCGAACTTCAGTGCTTTTGCAGTAATTTTTATAATGACTGGATGTTTTAATGATAAAATTAGAGAGATGTTGATACCTTCACTATTAGAACTTATAACGCTTGTGCGAGTGAATTTTTCTGCCTGACTATGTTGGGCTTCCAGTTTTGCGGCAGTTCCTGAACTTTTCTGTTGATTCTCATCATCTTCTTCCGATTGTGTTTCTAATGTCTTCCTTCTTGTTCTGTCTAATTGTGATATTTGTGTAATGGGTTTGGTTTCTGTTTTCCTTGTCACTTGAGTTTGTTCCGAGATTGGTTGCAATTTTTTCGCTTCTGCTCTAGCCTGAAATAAGCCATATTTTAGGATAGAATGCATGATAACCAAAGTTTTTATATAATGTCTCTGCTGTAAACAATTGCACACCAACCGTATCACTGGCTTAATCAGCTGTTGCAAAAATGTGGGGTAACATTATGATGATATACTGAATAAATTGTACAAAATGATATGAAATTGCAACAGATGGCGCAACCATCCTATTATTATGCTCACAAAGATTTATTGCAATCCGAATTTGCATACCGAAAAAACTAGTCCAATTAATTCAAGTTTTACCTTTTCTAGTTCTCCAAGTGATGATTTAGCCTTCTCCAAAAGAATTGGAAGCGTTGTCTAAATAAAGCACTTTAATTCTAAAAAAAAATTTTTTAATTTTATGCATTCTTTTCCAGTGCAAATGTTTAATCTGTAATTCAACGGTACAGTTTTAATCAACTTAACACAGCTAAATTTATTGAATGTGAATCATTACCGCAGTTCTGGAAGCTGTTGATATTATTTTCTTTTTGATACTGCCCTGTAAATTTGAAAACTATTTTTCTAAATAATTAGATTACAAATTTTCAGAATCTATTAGAAATTTCATTAAAAGGAAATGAAGTAGTCAACAAAAAATATTTTACCACTCACCTTCTTCTTTGATAATTTGTCCGGCTCTTCCGTTTCAGTTTCTAACGATATATTACTTTCAACATCTAAGGTTGGCTGATCACCACTTCGTTCATTATCGATGAGGACTAACATTCCTTCCTAAAAAATGTATTAATTTTTTCTGTTTCGGAGTTTAATTTTTGGAACCAATTATCGTTTATACTTTAAAGTTTACTCCAAATTTCTCACAATATTTTGATGAATAAAAGAAATTTACATCTTCACCAACAGGTTTTAGCGTTACAACAGCTGGTCCCAGAATATGATAATGATCATCTAAGCTCGTTGAAGGTTTCAAGGCAACAATCATCGCCCGAAATCCAATGATAAGCTTCTTCCCAATCCCAACTTCAATGTCTATTCGACCACCCACCGAATATCCACGTCTCGTGTACAACTTTTCAAATTCATTCATTGTTATTAAAGCGAAACTGCAATAATATCATCCAGCATTAATTTTATCTCAATTAATTTGATAATTTTGAAAATAAATCTAGATATCATGAGCTTATATTTCATAAGAACTTTTCCATTTCGAAAAGATCCTTCTAACTAGAAATAAAACATTATTTCCCCCTCCAACAAATTGACCTAATCTTTGATTACATAAGCAAAAAATTACAAGTTGACCAAACTATTATTAATATTTTGTGCACAACATAAATTTCAAACTCTTTCCAAGAAAATAAATACAAACGATTCATGTTGTTCCTTCAGTTCATATATAAGTCGTCGTGTTTGCTCCTTCCGCGATATTGCTCTAATGACTGAGCTGTCAAATGAGCGAACAATATCCATTGTATCTTCATCAATTTTAATCAATACACAATCAGTCGATGTTCGATATTCAACTTTTGGCTTTTTTACTGATTCACGTCGCTGAAATAATATGATCTAATTGCATGTGTTACTAAAAAAGCTAGAAAAAATTTCCTAAAAAATATAATCATTTAATTATTTTTAGAGAGATATTTTTGAGCGCAGTTAAACAAAGACATAATTTTTTAATTAGACAATTATAAAAATATAAGACAAGTTTTCTTCTTTCAAACCCAGTTTTTAAGTCTGTTCGATCATACACTGAGTGAAATTAAAAATTTTGGACAGTTTTGAAGTTTGCATTAAATTTATCAGTTGTTTCATTGAAATCTCAAAATAAGATTCCTGGCAATCAAAGAAACAAACGAAGTCATTTTTATCCAGCAAATTTCTCTCCCCAACAAAGCGGCCCTGATGTACATAGTAATCATGCTTATGCTCTTTTCCTCGTCTCGATAATGTCATTTCGGTTACTCTATAATTAACAACTATATTTATCAATAATAATGCAGTTAAGGTAGTTAGTTAAGACTGTAGAGAAAACTGTGCCCTAATATAATAAATGAAATTTACCAAAAGATATACTACGGCATTAAAGATAAATAACCAACTTGCAAATACCCTTCCTTATAAAATACATTGTTTTCCCGAATGTTTGAACCAACTGGCCGCCAGGCTGTTCAATTCCTGATTGTATTTCAAGATATTTGACCAATTTATCCACTAAATCTTGTCTTTTTTGACTATCAATGGCCTGAATCCAATGTACGGACTCCAGAGCATCTTGGTAACTCGGATTCGGAGAATTAATTAAACGTTCACCGCGACCACGTAAACGGTTCAGAGAGCGCTCCCACTGTTGCATTGACTCATGGTGCAAAAACCCCTGCCTTTAATAAAAATAGCTATGCAATAAATCCACGAATAATCGAAAATTTAAAACCAGTTTAGTGGAAAGCAGTCATTTAAACGAAGAGTCATTCGAATGATTTACAGAATAGGAATCTTAATGGTTAAATTTTGAAAGAATAAAAATTTTTCAGCAATTTTCATACTCGGTTATCTCTGCTACTTTCACATTTATCACCTTTGTAAACTAATACGTTAACAATCAGATCTTTACAAAATAATAATTTCTACTAACTTCTGTAAATCAACAATAGTGTGCTCCAATGTTTGTGCAGCCATTAAAATGGCTTGTTTAGTCTTGATAACAGTAATTAGATCAAGTACTTCTTTGTTTTTTTTCATTGCTTTTCGGATTAGCGCATCCACAATTTTATTCAAATGTTTCTGTTCTCCTAATGCTACATGATAGGAATCACCCGGAAAAAATGTAAATTTTGCTGGTGGTTGACTGAGCAAAAACTGCAGAAAATAAAGTGCTGAGAGTTGAATACGTATACGTAAGAGCTGAAATAAAATTAAATATTCCATAAAATAAAAAGTAACTGATATTATATACATCGAAGCTGACGTTAGGACAATAACTAGTAACATACACCAGCAGTACAGAGTGATTCATGCAGAGTGAAAATGAACAGCGGTGTGATGCGTAGAATTTTCAAAAGTGTCAAAAGCACCACAAATAAAAGAAGTATATAACGCATCGTATTGCACACATCTGGAACGATAATGAAAAGAAGAGAAAGAGGAAAAAAAGAAGAAGTTTCAAAATGTCAGGATTTCAGAATAAAGATACCAATAGATTTATCTAAAGAATTCTAAAATAATAAAATTTCAAAAACTAGAAAGCTAAAATGAATTGATCGTTCTAACGTAATGCTCTCCACTGTCCGCTATTTTGTATGCATGAACCATTCGGATATTTGGCCAATATAATTGATAGAACGATGCAGATACCGACAATTAGTGATATATAAACAAGAAATAGAATGAATTCGATAGTAATTCGATTCATGTTATGAAAGCAGCGCATATCCAGACGCTCTAATTCCTAAAATCATTTGTTTTGTATCTGTTTCAGAAAATTATGAAAACTTGAAGAGTTAGTTAATGTCACTCATTGAATAGGTGATATTTATTTATGATTGTATGTTGATTGGTTGGAAAATATTCGACTGCATTTGGAAATGCAATGTGGTGCGATATTTTAGCAATTTTCACTTTAAGACACCATAATAAACTTTTATGTGATCATTTCTGATACGAACTTAGAAAAGTAGTTATTTAAGTTATTAGCTAACCAACCAGTCGATATGCTGGTTTCCGTAATCGATGAAAATGTACTACTTCTTCAACAAAAAAAATGAAAGCAATCAGAAATGTGAACATCAGGGCTGAATAGCTGACATCGGTTCCAACTGCTGGTTGCCAGAAAATGACAAATGCAATCAGGATCGACTGAATGACAGCCAAAAATGCGGAAAATATGCACCACCTTCAATTAAAAAAGTCAAATCAGAAAAGATATAGACCAGAATGAGGAGAATTGCTAAGGAAGTTCTCCACAATACTCAGTCATGCCTATGGAGGCAGGTATATAAAATTATTAAAGGTAATTGTTGATTAATAGAAGCAAGAACAGAAAATGCTCGCTTCTTTGGTCGCTAAAGACATACCACTCCAAAGATCGAACCGGTTTCAAAACAGAAATATTTGTGGGAATTGGATAAGGCAAGAATGGAATACCCATCCAATTTAGACGATTAAGCTTTGTGTCCGTATCAATCCAACACTGAAAATTTGAAGATTTAAATTTAATATATTTTGAAGTATTCATAGCTAGACATAATGCTAAATCACTTAATGAAAGTGAAATTATGCAATCGATGTTGAGGATCTAATAACATATACTACTGAATTTGAAATAATATTGTTTTTGAAGACTAAAAAATATTCTTGTTTTTAGAATAATTTTTAAAGGTATAACCCGCAAAACTGTTAGGATCTTCAATTCGATGTGATGATACCACTTGTTATCAGCTGAATTCAAATGCTCGCAGAAGTCATCTAAAGTTAACTTTCCTTCATCAACACCATGTTCCAGGAGGTCGATTACTATATGCGCTGCACGTCCGGAAATCGCGCCCAGAGTCCAAAGGCTATATACTCGAGCAAGAAGGATACTATAGTAACCAGTGCAAACGTCACTGTCATCTTTCTTCTACAGTTTGGAAATTTTAAGTCATTTGTTTTAACATTTAATTTCAGTAGTAAAGATTACCATAGACTGGAAATTATGGATAACTTATAGTCAAGTGTGAAAGATTTCGATGTATTGTACTTTCTAAATGGCCAAAATTTAAAAGTGATTTTCGTACAAAAAAAAGGCGAAAAAAATGAAAACAGATTACACACCATAAGAAATGACTCGTCTACTGACTGACTATCAATACTTTTTACTGATTCATCATAAATGCTTGTCTGCACCCGTGAATACTGTCCAACATTACTTGCAAAGCCCTGAAAATCACCTATTATCATCTAATCCACTTTTGTAAGAACTGTAATAACCCATGACATCTGTATAAAAGGGATACAACATACTTTGAAAACGTTAGCTTCTATTTGCTCATTAACAACAGTCCAATTAGCCTCTGTAAGATAAGAGTCAGCTTGGCGACGCATTGCTGCTATATTTGCACGTAACGTACGAATTAAATGTCGTTCCACATTTTTCTCTGAATCTTTAATGTAACGTGATCGACGATTTGTACCTTCACGATTTGTAACGTACGAAAATGTCATACCCTATAATTTTCCAATTTTTTATTAGGAAGGACAGTAACTTTAAATTTCGCATTGAAGTGTTAGTTATTTAACAAAAAATTGCGCACGTTTTTCAACTATTTGAGAAACACAATTTAAAAGTTAACGAAAAAAGAAATTGCATGTGTATTAACGACTTTCTACAAACTGTAAGACTTGTTAAAAATTTAATATAAAGAACAACAGTTAACTAACAGTAATTACCTGAATCACCAAACAAACGAAAACGGCGGAACTAGCATAAAGTATCACTTTCTCGCCAATTCGACGAGCATATGGATCATACTGAACACTTTCAGCAAATTCATGTACCAGCAGAAGTGCTAACGCTCCCTTCAGACCACCATACGCCAAAAGGACGTAATCGATATCATAGACAACGTGAGAACTGCCAAATGCATTCCATAATTCGCGAAATACAACTAACGCCAACATACGAGTCACCAATGATATGGGAAATAACAACACGCCAGAGATTAAATGATAAATTACATCGATCTAAACATGGCATAGTCTAACACTTCCATTTTTGTGAGCAATACGATCACGCTTGCTATTACTTGTGACTCAAATACTTGAAGATCTCAAATACGAATAGTCAAACTTCTCAAAATGATAACATGCTTGTGAAATTTTGCTTACAAAAACAGAAAAAAACACGTAAGGATTCACCTCAACCGGATTATTGAAGAGCAGCAGACCGATGGCATAACCGCTGAACATGAATACGATGCAGTTAGCCCAATAACCGAATGCTGTCCAAATTTGCAAAGTTAATTCTACACTTCTCGGATTCAATCTTTCTCTACAAAATCAATACAATACACAACAAAAAGGATTTTTGAAACTTTCGTCGGACATGAAATACTTAAATGTCGTAATATATGTAAATATTTAAATGTCCAATAGCACTCATACTTTCTATCAATTTTTTTACTCAACGGGACTTCATAACTGATTTTTCCTCAGTCAAACATTGTAGGGCAATAAAGAATTACCTAAGATAGTTCAGTGTAACACCGTAAAATACAGTGGCTATGGCGGCTGATCCTTTGGTTACTTCACCTAACTGCCATACAAAGTATACCGATATCACCAAAAACATCTGAAACTGCAAAAATTTTAAGCAAGAATTATTCAAAAAAGAAAAAAGATCTCTTGTGGAGGAACAGACAGTTTATCTCGAGTTAAACTTCGAGTCGTGGCAAATTAAACAAAGTATCTCATGAAGTGGCAGATAATATGGAAATATTTCATCCAATCATAGCAACTATAATGGAAAGTAACGTAAGAGAATAAACCTGAATCCTTTTCTCTTCACTAATACCATGCCGTATGATCATAACAGTAATATGAGCAGTGGTATATCCCAGCAATGGTGATATTACGATACAGCTTACACACATCGCTGCGTAATGTACAAAAGTATATGGATAGGATGGCAAATTTACTTCTTTCTGAAATCGAAAAAGAACTCGAAGTGGCAATCAATAACTGCATTTGAACATCTGATTCGTGTGGAAGATCAACAATGTTTTTATTTTCATGCTGTCATTAAGCTAATTTATAAGTGTGCTGGGGAAAAGCACCAAGGTACTGCTAAAATAGAGCAAAGAAGTTTTGCTTAATATAAAACTACAATCCAACATACCATTTCATTAGTACATTCGATATTTTCATGTAACGTTAGGCATTTAATATTTTAAATTGGCATTTAATATATATTAAAAAAAAACAAATACATTTTTAATAGTAACTTTATCATTTAAAGAGAAACTACCAAAACAAAATTGCGGAGAATTTGATAGACGAAAATAGACAGGCCATCGTTGAGTAACGATTCACCCTCAACCAATATTTTGATACGTTGCGGAGCACCAATATCTTCCAGAATTGCAACAACTGCCACAGGATCTGTTGCAGCCAAGATTGCACCCATCAACATAACCTGCATAATCTCGACTTATCAAATAATTTCTTTCAACTATGGACTTCAAAAGTGCTATAAATAACAGACAAATCATATGCGTTTTGTGAATGATATCGTATATGCAAAAAATAACTGTGAAAAAAATAGCCAAACTCAAGAAGAGATAAATCTCAATGCATCAATATCCAAGTAATCAGTACTAGTTTAGAATGAATCGATCAAAGTTATGACAATTTATGCCAAGGAGTAAATATAAATCGCAATCTGTGATAAAAGTAGGTCGTATGATGCAATTTTTGTAACACCATCGATATTTTTCAATAAAAAAACCCAATTTTTGGCATTTTAAAAAGAGCTATTTGAGGAAGCATAGAAAGCAAAACTTATAAAATAATGAAGCGAACTTAGACATATATCAATTACTATGTAAGTAAAAAAGAAAGTTCGTGGAAATTCGTCTGGATCAAAAAAATACTGAGAAAAGAGAATGCATTGGAATGGAAAGCAAGTGAAACTTGTTTCGTCACAACAATTATTTAGCATACTTCTAAGTGATATCTATGATAATGATACACGTACGTACGTGGCGAAGGAAGGAAAGAGATAAAGAGAAAGCTACAACATGCAATCCAATAACGCTAGAGATATTGTACTGAAGATCTTTCTCATATGTTATTAATTTGCATTGAAATTTAGGACTTATTTTTAATTTTCAATTTTTGTTTAAACTGGCAAATCATTTCAATGATAATCACACCAACCGTAAATATATTCCAATTATCCATAATCCGTAAAAATGGTAGCATTAGAGCAGTGTATAATATTAGCGTTAATAAATAAACAGTAGCGGTCAACGCGAATAGTAGCCATTGCTTTCGAAAGAACAAATGTGAATTACTTTTCACCGCAGATTCAAAAATAAGTAGCGGCAGAAGAACCTAAAATGAAGTTGATTTTGATTAGAATAGCTTAACCAAAATTGAATTTCCGTGTGCTACACAGTTCATGCAAGCATCATAAACATACTCCAACAATGATGCGTGGTTCAACCGTTTTCCACGTATATGTCTCGTCAATATGTGTCATCAAATTCTGGGGGAAAAATAAGTGAAGAATAAAACTGAAATATTACACTATTTTGAAGGAAATTATGCGTGATTTAAATCATTATTCAGTAAATTTCAATTCATTAATTTTGATTTTTCGCTTTTCAGCACAGGTGATGTCAAAGTAACACAACCGAGAATTCATCGTTTCATGATGATTTTGCATTTAAATCATTTCATTTTTTCAATTGCGTTAAATAATTCAAAAAAAAGAATTTTAAATATTCATAAACAAAACTAGTTGAGAAGTCAAAAACAAAAAAGTAAGACATGATTAATTAATAGCTGGTACCAAAAACAAACAGCAAGCATTCCAATAATAAATGCTAATAAGAAAATATCATAGGTATTATTATATACAGGTGTACGATGAAGTAATTTATAAAACTACGTTTTGATAGTTGAGAATAAAACCTTGTGCCAAGTGCGAATAGAAAAATGAGAATAGTATCCGGTATACGGAGAAATCGGATGCGACGATTTGTAGCATCTAACACAAGACCAGTGACAAGGGCCAGAAATGGAAACAAGAATACTTGCAACGACTTGAGCATGTCACCGTACACAAGCGCTTACTTTATCTTAACTGAACGTAATAATAAACTTTTCTTAAGTGTCTCATTTCTTTTATACATTCATCTAAACTTCTTTTTACAATCTTTACATAAAATTATAAGCAAATTTTTGAAAAAATTTATAACTATCAAAACATGAGCTCATTTAGAAATAATGAATGTTTAATTTATCAGAAAATTTTGACAATTGGGATAACATTTTGCGTTGGATGACCGCATTGTCTCCGACAGCATTAGATCGGTGGTGGTTGAAATTGGCGTTTTTTTATTCGGGAGGGTGATAATTTATTTATAGTGGATATAAAAAATTAGGCATAATTGGATTACTGAGGGATGAAATCTGCAACAGCACGAGGTCTCGACAGTTCGAAACATGCGATTGCAGATCAGAATGAGAGGCAAAAGATCATCAGCGATGTATCGGTTATTTCACAACCTACTGGAACAGTAACTTATCATTAATATAATTTTAAACTTATGACGTATCATTCACTCGAAGAATTTATAAAACTCAATTCCAAATTTAAATGAAAGTTTAAGTATCGCACTACAACATAATAATTGGAAACTATCGACTCTGGAATACAGGATAGCAATAATTTGAAATGGGCAGAAGTTGTGTTAAGAAATAAAGATACTAGCAAGACTTATTGAATCCATTGAAATAAATGTTTATTTCTACTCTGTTATGAATTAGATATTGTGTTTTGTTTCATTATTCCAGAAGCACCAGAAAATCTCGGGAAATAACACTAAGCGAAGAGGAATTCATCGAAGAAAACGAACATCGCGTTATTCTGCCATGAGTACGCTTGAGATACCTTTAATTGCAGCTGAAAACGGGTATACCCAATCTGAAGTTGTTTTTAGATGTACGGGAATGCAATCTGCAATTCGGGTGAGCTTTATCTTCACTCTATAATCAAATTCTTATCAAGTTAAGATGCATCTTATTTTTTGGAAGATTTTTATCCCAAGGAAAGAATTTTTTTTTAATTCTGATAACGCATATATACAGGATAGCAATAATTTGAAATGGGAAGTAAACGATGTATCATGCGCAATGAATTCAGAACTTCGTAATTTTTGGGAACGTCAAGACATGGAATCTGACCGTAAAAAACGCAATAAGAATAAGCATAAGCTGAAAGATTCTTCGGTCTATAAGTTTTTTATAATATTGTATATCTTACATTCCTTATTTTAGTTCTCATTGTAACATACTATTGTGTCCGCACACTTTTTGCGATTTTTTCATTTTATTATAGTACTTGCAGTTTCATTTGGTAGCGTTTACTGCAAGTACTTCCGTAACTGAAGAATATGCAAATGCTGTTGCAAGCGATAGTGAGCCAGATGTGATATCATTAAGTGACAAAGAAGAAAGGGAAAATCGGGAAGCTGGTACTGAATTTGCTTTGCTCGAACAGGTAAGCGATATTGATGACGCTCAATGTATACAAGTTCTGCAAATTCTTTCATCAGTATAACGACCTCATTTTAAAATCATTTGGAAAATGAGTGTTTTTTGAATTGTTAAAATACTGCAATTTATGGGTGAACGAAAAAATGAATAATTTTGTAGTTTTATACTTTAATGCAGTTTTTAAAAATTAGTGCAACTAATAAATATTCTAAATTGTCCTATGTTGAGAACCGTTGCTCCCTCGTAAATCATATGATTGCCGTGGCTGAAACAATTTACTTGATAACTGCAGCTTATGATTTCATGGAAAAAATTATTTGAAGAATCTTCATGTTTTTATCATCAGTTCTTCTGGGTAGTTGCATCCATATATCTTAAGATATATGACTTTTTAACTAAAAAACTGCAAAATTTCTAAACTGTGTTTGTTCATTTCAGGGTGATGATTTCAATAAGCAGTTACAAACATCGCCATTGATCGAAAAAGAAGTTCCAAAATGTTTAACTGCTTCTGAAGAATTAGAAAGGAGAAGAGTTCTAGATAATGCGATTTCTAGAAAAATTGATAATGTCAATGTTCTAGAAACTGGGGGCATTGCAGCTGAAAAAATAGATGATTGCAATGGGTTTGATGGAACAGTGGAACAACTTTCGGGATTAAATCAGAGCATAAAGCTCATTAGAACTGCCAGTAGTAATCTAACTGCAAGAAACAAAGAACAAATGGAAGTGGATAGAAATGTCTGCAGAGAGAAGAAACACTTAGCCACTGAAGTTTGTCTTTTAATTTTACGACTAAATTATGAATTTTATCTTTTTGTAATAATGTTAGTGTTCTTCATTTTTCCATCCTGTTATTTGTTTGTTATCTCAAAATGAATTTGGTTTAATTTAGGTACCACTGAGGGACGGTCCGCTTTTCATTCAAAAAGATTCCTTTGACAAACTTAATTTAATGCCTGGAACGCATAAATTTGTTCAAAATGGCAAAGTGGAGGTAAATTTTTGAATTCTTAGTATCGTAATTTCATTATATATTTTTGATCTATTAGATACCTTTTACATTTAATTTTCCACAAAATTTCAGTTGAAAATTGATAAGCCACAAGGGAAAGATTTCATCCAAGTTACATTATTTGAATGCTGCGGCCCGTTGGAAGATCCCAAGCAGGTAGCTCGAGGTGGATACAAGATATGTGCATCAGTTGTATTACATGAGAATACATCTATTGAAGTAATGCGCCAAGCTCTTATTGATTTAGCTGAAGAGCTGGAGCAAATATCTCGTGACTCCTTTTATTCTGGTGAATGTGAAACTTATTTGAAATTTTTTAATTAAAATTCTCCTTCATTATTTGATACTGCTTAGAAAATAGTGCATCTGGCTCAGTAAAATTTTTACTTCAGGCGAGAAGCTACCCTATCCTGTAAATAAATACTCTTTGCCTTATTTGAAGAAACAGTACATTTATCCACTAAAGAAGAAGTCTTCACGTTTTCCACGAGCTATCTACTATTGTGGATTATGCCAGTATCACATATGTTCGGTTCCTCAAGCAGTAACACATTTCTTATCACGTGAGCACATTGATAATAGGGAGGTTAGCGTTTAGCTACTATTAAAGAAATTTTCTAAACAGTCAGTTTTATTTCAAATTGTTTGAACTAGAAAAATTTCATGAACTATAAGGTCTTCATGTTTATATTATCTCAAATTTTTATAATCCGTATTTTTGCATAAATCTAATGCATGCTGTAGTCATCATAAGGTTATAGCTGTTTGACTTAATAAAATACAGTTATAGAAGGAAGACTCGCTAAAAAAGTTGGAATGTTTACCAGTACCGGCTAGCGAGCAAATGTCCAAAATAGATCAAATTATTCAAGAATTATACGTTTCTGCGAAGCTTTCGGATATACAGTATGAAGTCGGATCACAAATTGCAAACTTGTTATCACATCTTTTGCAAAATGAAGCCCGTAAAAGTATGCTTTTCCTAATTTTCCTAAAAAAGTCGAATATTAACTTAGATCCAGTTGAGATTATCATTACCACGCAAAGTTGTGCTCTGCCCGTATTGGCCAACTCGTTTTAAAATCATAAAGCATGTATAATTTATGTTCATCAGATTGTTATGGTGCTTTGAAATGACTGAAGGCAACACATGATTGCAGTCATTCAGTTTTAGGATTGTATTAGGATTCTAAGAATTCGAATCCCGTATTAAAATTTGTTCTATTGTTTTCCAAACATGCAGATTTTTCGGTGATGGTGTACGGTTCATATATGACGAGACTAGCTACTGTACACAGCAATTTGAATTTAGCATTGAATTTCCCTCAAGAATATTCACTTGGTCACGCATTATCACGGGTCATGGAAGTTCTAAATAATATAGCATTAGGTAATTTTTTTCTATTTTTTCGTACTCCTTCAGTTTTCGAGTCATATGTCTGACATTCTGAAATTAAAATTATGAATTCTTACCTTTCAGAGAAAGATTTTATTGTTGATTCTATAACTTCCGATCTCCAACGTCCAGATCCTTCGGTTCACTGCATTGTAAACTCCGTTGCAGTTGTTATTACTGCAAACTGCATTCGACAGCAGCGTGCTACGCAACTTATTAATTTGTATTGTGCGATTTGTTCACAGTTTAGAATTCTTGCTACTGTCTTTCGTTCATGGGCTGAGGTATAGATAAATTTTATTCTTTTGTCTTGTAAACTTTTTGTATTGCGAACATTCGTATCCTTAGAACCTTTCAAGAAATGTGTTGGAATATAACCTTTTATCGTTTGTTTATGCATTTTGTCTAGGACATGTTGTACAAGTAGATGGATAAAATGCGGCTATGCTTGGCGTTTGCCTGAAGCATAGGTAAACTGCTGAGACCACCCAATGTTTTGTAGGTATAAAGTTTGCTGGTACTATATTTCTTGCATTTTATTTTTAAAAAATCTCGTGATCTCGAATGCCTTTGCTACGATCGTTTCTATTTTTTCAAAAGCAAAGTTTGAAAAAGTAAAATTTTTGTATACTTTCAAATATGTTTTAGCTCTGTTCGTTAACCAATGTACAGTTGGGCGGTTTGCCAAAATTTGCTTTCGATATCATATTAATTTATTATCTACAGCACAAGGGATTACTTCCTTTCATCTTCGAGGTTATTTATGACTTATACCTGAAAATTCCTATTTTTCTATGAAGGCTTAATTAAAGGCTCGATTTGTTTTTATCAGAAATTCAAAAAAAGTGATGTTTAACAGGAAAAAGATCACCAACTTTATTTTCAGAATTCAGATATTTAATGTTTTACCTAATTTGGGTCAACTAATTTTTATGTATTTCACACTGCACAATCAAAGGGAATCTTTTCAGATCCTAAGTGAAGAAGAAATACTACTACTAGACAGTGAAAGTCTCCAATTTGAGCATCAAGTGGACAGGATAGTATGTTTTTTTTCCAAATTCTGTAAAATGAAATGTAATTTTATATGCATTTTTTTGCATTTGTTTTAGAATACTAATTTTGGCACTGGCAATGAAGAATGGAATTTCGGTGAAATTTGGATTGGTTTATTCCGCTACTACGCTATTGAACATCCTGTTGAAGAATTGATACAAATACGTTGGAGAAAACGATATTTGGCAGAGGACTACATACGATGGAATAAGAAACGGCTTGCGGTTGAAGGTTATTTTACTTTGATTATTGAGTGAAATTTCAGCAATCAGAAAAGAATAATTTTAGTTTTGCTTTTTTTTGAATTTTTCTAATTTTTTCAATATATTGAAATATTTTTCCGATTTTATACAAAAATTCTTATGGTATTGTGAAGAGAAATAGAACTAAAATAATATTTTCCATAATCGTATTTTTTAAAAAATATAAGAACAGCTTTGTATATATTTTTTATTCTTCAGATCCATTTGCTTCTGACCACATAATGCAACCGCAGCAACGCATTAACAGTTATTTCTCAAGCTGCTTTCTGTCTACTTATATTTATTTTGCTTTACCACGCACTGTGGTTTGTTCGCTAATTCCGTATTCTGTTATAAAGCCCGGAAGTGTTGATATACAGTTGAAAAAGGTAGTTTTTCGTTATGGTAAGAAAAGGTTTTCATGTCTTATAGCTTATTTGTTATTTGAATATTAAGTCACTCGTTTTCATTTCAATGTCATTATAGAGACGGAAACGCAGATCGAGAAAAACCACTATATTGAACGATTCCTGCACTGATGAAACTGCACCAAATAATGATGAGCAAGATAATAAGACTGATTCGGATGATATTGGTAATTTATACAAATTTCTTTCCTGAATAAAATTGATTCGACTGTAACAATACTGGTTTTTACAGCTTAATATTTCTTTTTATAATTTTTAGATTTCAGTTCTTTAGATTAAAAAAATTTAGAAACGAACAAGATGCAAATCACAGAGGCCGATATGAATAAGCAAGATTTTGATGGACTAACTGAAGCTGGATTGGAAACCATGACGCAAGTCCGGACAAACGAGGTAATTTTCGAAGTATAGTTTTTCTTGATGCCAATACGCCAACTAGTGATGTATTTTATGAACTTAATTCATCAAGAAATAAGGCTCTTATGAATATATATGTATGGCTTCAATTGCAATAAGGTTTGCAAGGAAATTATTATTTTTGTTTCTCATTTTTGAAGAACGATGAGAATTCGTTGGCATCTGGGAAATGCCAGGATTTGGAAGTATTAGTTTCTGATTGCGCTGCCTTACGTCTCGATTTGAATACATCTCATAATGATCTGCAAAAAGATGATATTGATGAAACATATTATGACAGTAATGTGACGTTAACTTCCCAGCAGTATAATATTCACTTCTCCGAACTTCATTTAGTTGGTTTCACTTCATTGAAATCTTGGAACTTTAAAGTCCTTTTATTATGGATAAGTTTGAAACTGCCGAATTTTTGTACGCTGATCACAAAATTTTGTGAGTGGTGACAGAAATTTTTTAAAGCAAGCTTGTTTTCAACCCATCTTTTATTTGTAGAGTAAGTGATTTTGTGCTCTTATAACACTATGTTTTATTTGCATTACTGTTAAACTTATTTAATTTTATTTCAAGTTTGCTTTAAAGTCACTTTAAAATCAAGGTTTTGTTGAAATTGGCATTGTCTTGTTTTAGCAAATGAAAGAACTCGAAGTCGAATTGCCACTGACTACCCAAGATCTACATGTCACAGAAGAATATGACGTACGATTTTCTTAACAACTTGTGTTTCTTGTTCCTCAAATGAATTTTAATTGTTATGATGTTAATTTTTATCAAACTATGAATATTTGGATTTTCAACGAAATTTCAGGGAAAAGAATTGGCCGAAGCTAGGCTTGCAAGTGCTTCAGTTTTGAAAATCAAATTTCATGATTATGACGAAATGTCTATTCGCAAGTTATGGTTGGCTTTAAATAGCAGTGAATATAATTATTCGTGGGCTTTGCACTATTTCACTGGCGGATTGGTATGTTAGTTTAGATTGATGTGGCAAAGAAATTTATAAAACATGAGAGTTGGAAGTCGAAATCAGTTTGAAATTCTGGGGAAATATTTAACTGAAGCATTTTTAAGTGTGTGTATGTATGTGACGCGAGATCTTGCGGTTTGTTAGTATATAGTGTTGCTTCACTGAAGTTAAATTCTTGCTTTAAGAAATATTTTTTCCAGGAACCAATGGTACGATGCACATGTTGTGGTGCAGATGGTCATTTGCGAGATAACTGTCCTGAACTTATGATTCCAGAACCCAAGAATTTTCCACCATTAACTAATGCACAAAAAAAAATTATTAACCTTGTTATCTTCGATATTTTTAGTAATTCATTTTAAGCGAGATTTTTAGGTTAAAATTTCCAACGAAGTTTTAAAATGTTTTTGTAGAAATACATAATTAGGTTGCATCTGTCAGTTCATGTATTTAGATATAAGGATCTTTTTTTTTTCAAGCATCATCATCTGAAAAAACAGTTGCATTCTTTTCAAAATCTTGCATTTTTCTTGACTGATCATCATTTTTAATACGGGATAAATCTAAAACATAAAAAAAATGTAGAGAAAAACTTTTAATTTCTTTTGCATTCCTCAATCTTTCAAATTCAGGATTTCAAATTTCAGAATCGAAGAAAAGCTATACTAAAGTTAAAGAAGACAAAGAAAAATAAAAACGATTTTGAAATAAGAGAATTAAAGAAATATTGTAAGAAAGAATAAATAAATCTAGTAGGAATATCAAATATCTAAGAAATGTTAACAAATTGAAGGAATTCTGATTTTTAACAAATATGATTTTCAGATACAATGCGAATAAGACCCTATTATGTGCACAGTATGTCAGCTCTGTGTCGCGAACTTGAAGGTTTCCTTCGCCGTTTCTATCGTACTGATTGTCATCTCTCATTGTTCGGTTCAGCTGGAAATGGATTCGGTCTTTTAGGTTCAGATGCCGATATTTGCCTTCGATTTGGAAGAGGAGTGAGGCCTGAAGTAATTTTAAAATAACTTTTTATAAGTCATTTTTTTTTAAATTTTCCAGTTTTTCTGATAAATTTCATATATATCAAACGATAAATTTTGTAATTTAAACGATTTTATACTAGATATGAAGTATTCTTACAGGATATCGATTCTGCGGAAGTCATATGTAGGGTCGCTGAAGTAGTTCGTAAGATGCCTGGCATTACATTTGTTTCCGAAATTCCGCATGCTAAAGTACCAATCGTGAAGTTTCGTTGCCGTAATCATCTTGAGGCAGAGTAAGTATTTTACGCAAAGGACATGCCTCATTTTTTTCCATTTGAACGTTGAAATTGTTGACAAAATTTAACAACTATAATAACTATTTAGACCCGAATTCCAGTCAGGTCTGAGTAGTTATATTACGTTTATTAAAATTGTTTAGTACCTTTAAAGTACATAATTTTTGATCTAAAATATTTTTGAATATCTTAACTACAAATGTGTTAGTTTCCTGTAGATTTCAATGATTTTTAGTTTGTCACTATACAATGTGCTAGCATTAGAGAATACACGTTTGTTGCGAACATACAGTAAGCTTGATGAACGAATCCACAAGTTAGGAATAATGACTAAAATATGGGCTAAAAGCTGCGAAATTGGAAATGCATCGAAAGGAAGTTTATCATCATATTCGTATATCATTATGCTTATTCACTATCTTCAACGAACAAATCCACCAGTTGCTCCATTCCTCCAAGAAGTTTGTTTTTTATGCTAAAAATACTAATTTTTCTTCATTTAATGATATTGTGTTATAAAAATCTTACAATAATTCATCATTTAATGAGCATATGAGAACTTTCTTTAGATAGCACCGCCTGGAAGATGTAGGAAACCAGTAATAATTGATGACTGCGATGTGTACTTTTGTAGCTTTGAAGATTTGGTTAGTCTTCATATTTTGTCCTTCTTTCCTCTTCCCATATATATATATATATTCTTTTTATTTCCTCCTTTTTCTTTTCTACCATGTTCATTTTCCTTCATTTACTCTTCTCTCCGATCATTTTAAGTATCATTTTTCTCGAAGTATATTGCTCTCTTACTATCTGTATCATTTGGTAAATTTGGATATGCGTTAGGAATGGACAGTTTACAACCGATCAACTGTTGGGGAACTGTGGATAGGCTTTTTGGATTATTTTGGAACGAAATTTGATTTTACACAAGAAGTTGTACAAATTCGACAAACTCAGCGGCTAATGAAGCTGGACAAAGGCTGGCAGTCTAGACCTATTGCCATTGAAGATCCATTTGATCTCACCCATAATCTTTCCTCAGGTGTTCATTCCAAAAGTAAGCAAAATTTGAATTAATTGATTATTAAGAAATGTTGAAATGGTCTGGCTAGGCAAAATAAAACAATGAATGATGAATAGTCAGAAGCTGTTGTTCTACAATGTGATAATGTTTGTCTAGTAAGATTAATTTAAATAAATTATTTTATGACGCTGTTTTTTACAGGTAGCATTTGATTTTTTTTAATTTTCATCTTTTTTTTCTGGTTACTTTTTGGCATATCTTTTTATTAGTTTTTATTAACCTTATTTTGATGAGTAAATAATGCGGAAATGCGTGGATTGATCAAGCTTGGATTTACTTTCAGCAATGGCATATATACATAAATCATTTATACAAAGTCGAGAGAAATTTAGTACCGTACCCGTCCCAAACTCAAAACTAAATCACAATTCACTTATATTTTATGCGGTAAGCTTTATGCTTTTTGATCGATTTTTTAAATATATACTAATTCTTTTATTTTTATTATGTTGACATGCCATAGAATAAGGTTGGTATAGCGACCTTCTTTGTTTTAATTCTAAATTTTCATTTCTTTTTTTTAGTCTGCTTTGCTTTCAAGCTGTCGTGTCGGCAATGGTCCTCCATTAGATCGCAAATGTTGCCACCGATGTCGACAAATTGGACATTTTGTAATGGATTGTCCTCTGGGAATGAAAGATAAGAAACATAACAAGTAACTTTAGTTTAAAATTATCTTTTGCTTTTTAATTTCCTATGTCAGCATATAAAAGTCTCAGTGGTAATGAAAAAGTAGTCTTGGTCTGAAAGAAGTATTTTTAGACTCTTGCTTGCTGTTACCTGGAATTTCTCACCAGTCTTAGAATCAAAATCAATAAAACATTTGACAGAGAAGACTGATTGACTGACTATTATCAAGAAGTATGGATAATAGTGAAAATATAAAATAGTCATGGGTAACACTCTGATACACTAGAACAACAATAAATAAATTAGATGTAGTGAGCTATGATGAAAGTACATGATCTCATAAATATTGAACTCATCATTTGCACTTCACCAAAACAAGAATTCTGGTTTTCACTGTGACGAGTAACTTTTTCTTGTGTAATCATATTCTTGGAGTGTAAAAATTTGCGCAAAGTATTTACTTATTATCGAATCGATTGTTTATTCCACGTAACAGCAAACTGAATTTGGCAACGAAACATTTTGATCATTCATGGTGAATTAATTCGATTGCCTGTCGTATTTTCAGTCCTTTTCCTTATCCAATGCGCTAGTCGGCCACCACTATTTCCAATGGGTTATCTACAACTGCTATCAGCTTTGCAACTGTTAATTTCAGTTTAATAATTCACTGGCTAATTGAGCCTAAAAAAATAAACTGTGAGAACCACTTTGGAGTAGAAACATTGCATGACTGATAAATTAGTAACTTTTCTACCACTAATATCATTTTTTACTATTCATTCATCTTTTACAAATATCATGCAAATATGACAAAAACTCCTCCTTGGTCGGATTCCCTATATAATTCTTTTGCAGGCAGAGCTAATCTGGAAAACTTCTAAACTGATGCAATTTCTTGTCATTGAAGTAATTTAATAAAATCTCAACGATGAACGATCAAATAAGATATAATATGGAATCATATAAAAGCTATTTTATCGTTGTCGTTGTTTTGTTGTCTCTCAAATATAACGGTTTACTGATTCATATATTAGACGTTATATCGTTTATAAATTATTACTAATTCCATTTATCACTTCTGTTTTGCAATGTTTAGGATATTAGATGCAATACATTATCTTTGATCATTTATTTTCTAATCATAAATAAAATCCTGTTGGAAAATTGATGCAGTGTCATATTTAACGATAACTGAGGGCGATATGTTGGATCACTTCTGGAGGGTTTTTTTCTCATGTAGTTTGTAGTTTTCTTATGAAGGGGTTATATTAGGAATGTGATATAATGTGACGCTAGAATTTTTCTTGATTCATCTTTGTTTACTCGCTTTTCTCATTATGACTGGTTTTTGTTGATCGATGCTTTGAACTTTATGTCAACTAGAGTAAGTTTTTGCACACACTGTTTCAGTGTATTTAACTTCAAGTAACCAACTTTTTTTGCATTTTAGAGAAACTTGAATTTTTTAACTAATTAATCATTCTAATTTCAAAATTGGACAGTTTTTTTTGAAAAAATTTCTTCCGCTTGATTTAGAAAAGGCAAGTTAGGATATCATTCTAATTTCAAAGTGGGAATGCTTAAAGAACGCTTAAAGAAGATATGATACTCCTTAACTCTGCGTTCCTTTATTAACAAAGCGTTATGCCATAAGCCTAAAAAAAGAGCGATAGTCAAAATATCTAAGCGAATTTTCGTTTTTTGATTCCTTATGTTTTCTTATTTCTACAAAAAGAAATTGCAGATTATTGTTTTGGCCTTGTCGATTAGTTTTATTATTGCATCAAAGTTTTTTCTGATGACATTAATCTGTTTCAGGTTGGGGCAAAAGTTTATATTTTGATATTTATATTCTCACATTATCTCAGGAATGCTATTTAATGTTTGTCTTTGTAATTTGTAGACTATTATGTCGATTTGCTTGACATCTTTTCATGGTCTACCGTGAAATTAATTTTCTCTGATGTTTTATGCTTTTTTAATTCAAATGTTTGGTAATCTAATTTTTGGTAATAATTTTAGTTTCTTTGTGTCAGTCATGCATTTCGATGTTACTGTGAAAATGTAACCACTATTCTGTTATTGATCCATTAAAGTTTTTAACCAGCTGAAAAGAGAATGAACTTTAAAACTAGCTGTCTACAATTAATTCAGTATAATACGTAGCAGCGAACGTATTGCATGCTACTATTTATGGGGGGTGAATTTTTCAATTACTTGGAATTTTCAATCAGTTTTAATTTTGGTGAATTAACTTGGAATTACGGTAAGGTGGATGGAAATGATGAGATTGATTGAAGTGTAAATACGCCATTTTTCGTAGAGGCCATTTCTTTTAAATTATGCTTTTCAGTAAGTTTTCAGTTTGTCGTAGTTGTAAGATAAACTTTTAAAATAAAAGACAGTTGTATTTGAAGAACTGGTCCGATCCTGCCATGAAATTTTCAGAAAGTTTTGGTGAAAAATCTATAAACTATACAACAGGCGTGGAGATTTTGGCTGCATAGTTGAAAAAGCAGTCGGGTGAGTGTCGCTTTGCGGAGGATTCTGTGCACGTATAAAGTTGATGCAGTTAACGAATCCAGTATGGATTCATCACTCAGGTAAGTATATGGTTGGATTTCATGCCTAATAGAGATTTGCAGCACTTTATTCTTACCGCTTCGTTTATCAATGTATATTCGTGTTCCTACTTGCTCGGCAAATGTTTGATTAGGTGATTTACATCTTCGTCTTTTTTAATTTCAAATTTAGGTGGTGCAATTTACTCGGTGGATATTCATCCGGATGGTACAAAAATAGCAACATGCGGACAAGGTGGTGAAGGTGGTTCAGGTCTTGTGATTATCTGGAATGTGAAACCAGTAATTAACGAGAAAGCTAGTCAGGAGACATCGTGCAGTCGATTACTCTCTCGAATTCTACACCAAAGTAATTTAGGAAATATTACACTCTTTACATCCAATTTATCTAGGGTTGTTTATTTGCTGTCACGATAAATATCTACCGCTTTTCCTACTGTTTAACAACTTCTCTGCATTTTGACATAGAGCCTTGTCAAAATGTATAGAAGTTGGAAAAGTAAAGTGGGTCTAATGCTATAGCTTTAAAGTATCGTTCCTGGCATGTTATTGATCTCTGTGTAGTTGCAATCTTTATTTTCATGTGAGGTGCATGTAGCTATAAAGATTTTCTAGTAATGTTTCGTTAATTTAGATTGTGTTAATTGTGTTCGTTGGTCTCCGGACGGGACATATCTTGGATGTGCTGGTGATCAACAATCATTGACACTATGGGAATTTGGTGGTCGAGTTTTCAGTGCTGGAACCATTGGTTCTAAGGTAATTTTTTTCGAATAAATCAGTATTCCTTCTGTTTGAGTAAAGTAATCATTCCTAACAAATTATTGTATTTATAATTTTATAATTGTTATCATTATTGTATTCATAATTTTTAATTGGCCATTTATAATTGTTATCATTAGCTTTACATCCTTTTTTGAAACCAAAATAATTCAAATGTTAAAATTTTTATATTTGAAAATAAAAGGATATTGTAGGATTCTGTTAATGTCGAAAAATATCGGGAAAAGTACCGATTGTATGGACATTCTTTAGATGTATTACATCTTGAATGGTCCAAAGATGGACACTATCTTGCATCTTGTGGAATGGATCATGCTGTGATCATTTGGGATGCTCATAACTTACCGAGTATATTTTTTTCTTCGAATGTCACTGTTACTTTTCCGCTTTTTTAACATCCCATGCTTTAAGGATTTCGGAATTTTTGTTCTTTTTCTTGTATATCAATCGAATGGGTGGGTAAGTGGTGAAGTTTCAAACATTTTCAGACAAAGTGGTATCGTTAACAGTCGAACGAGGTGGACACCGAGGTATCGTGAAAGGAGTAAGCTGGGACCCAATAGGAAAATTTCTCGCTTCGCAATCGGCTGACAGGTCTGTGAGAATTTGGACAACTGACAATTGGCAGTGCATTAAAGTAGTCATGGATCCTTTTATTGAGGTTTGTTAAAGAGAAATTACTAGTACTTTACAGCTGTTAGCCATTATCCATTAGGAAATCATAAGGATTTCTTGAATTCTTTAAGATTGAAATGCCAGTTAATCGGTCATTGCTTCAGTTTTTTGCATTTAAGGTTTTTTTCATGTTTTTCAGGTTTAAGAGAATTCTTGCAGAAAAATTCATTCCATTCATTTAAATTCAAAAAATTCGAAACACGAAAAATGATTACGTATCATGTTTTTGCAGAGTAGCCAGTCAACTATGTTTTGTCGATTGGACTGGTCACCTGATGGTACCTACCTAATAGCGCCATGTGCGAGTAATAACTCAGGGCCAACTGCTCACTTGATACGGCGAAAGGTAAAAAATTTATATGCAGAATTTTCACGTAGCTAATTCTCTCACTCATGGGTTACTTATTCGTCACGACTGCCCACTGCTCAAGAACTTATTTTGCATTAGGATTTAATTTTCAATAAATTAGGAAAGAAATTACTTATTCATTCATTAACAACTATAGTACTTCATTTCATTTGATATTTAGGATTGGGATACTACGCTGGATTTAGTTGGTCATCGAAAAGCTGTAACAGTGGTTCGGGCATGTCCTCGTATGATTGAATATCAGAACTATAAGGTTTTTGAATTAAAGCGATTTATAACTTTGAAAATATTAAGATCATCAAGTCTTTTATCATTTTATATACCATTAGTTTAATTGTATGTCCTATTTTATTTCTATTTGTGTGTTATAAAAAAAAATAAAGTTTTCGTAATTTCACATAAGACTTTGGATTCCATGATTCTTCGTCTAAAGAAACTTTATTGCAGGGCAATCAAATTCAAGTAAGCTGTATAGCAATGGGCAGTCGTGACAAATCCTTAAGCGTCTGGTTATTGCCGAATGTAGATCGACCTTTAGTTGTCTTATATAAACTGTTTAAACATTCCATACTTGATTTTTCCTGGTAAACATTTTTTATACGCTAAGTTGAAAAGTTGTTTATAATTTGATTGATCATAGTTAACTCTGATCTTAAAAATTGTCCGATGTGAGCTTTCTAAAATTACCCGGAACAGTATCGATAAAAGTAAGCATCATTTTAAATTGCTGCAGGAATGATTATCATCTAACAATTTGCTCGATGGATGGAACAGTAAAATCAATCGTGTTTGATGCAAAAGAATTAGGGCGGTTACTTACTTCTTCTGAAATGGTATTTTCAAAGATTTCTTTAATATGTTGGTTAATTGTCATCCTTTTTATCTTTCTATTGGCATGATAATTTCAACGAAAAAAAGAAAGAGGATATATGAATTATGACTTACATTTACTGTGGTTTACTGATGCTTTTAAGGGTGATCTGTGTGAACGAATGTATAGCCGTCGGCCATTGCAATATTCTTCTGGTCAATTAAATAATGGACATCAGTTGTTGTCTCCCAAGGATTCTAACCGAATGTTTATTGATGATCTGAAAAAGCTTCAAAACGAAAAGCAAGAGCCAAAACAATCGAAACTTCACGACGGTGGTTCCTTTACTTCTTCGCAAATGAAAGAAGTTCCTAGTAATCAAGCCACAATCAGTACTTGTGATGCAGGTTTTACTTTGTTTCTGTTTGATCCATGATCTTTTTTGGGGTGAAATGATCAATCTTATATTAGCTGATTCATTTTTGTTAAGGGTCAAAGGAGGGCATTTTATTCCGACTTGTTCGGAAAGACATGGATGACCTATTAGTCTGAAAAAATAAGATGTGCTATCTCCTGTTCTTCTATGATGTTTTTATTAATTTACATACTAATATTTACAATTCAAATTAATTGCTCAGAAAAGATGCCCGTTTCATCGGAATTACCGAAGAAGCAAACCGAACTCCGAACCAAATCAGGGAAAAGAAGAATACAGCCTGCTTTTATTGCCTCTGTTACAGTCCCTGAAGCTGAAGTCACTGCAGCACCTACTTCCATGGAAGAACCAGCACCAAGCAGGTCAAAACCTTACAAAACAGCATCTTTTGTTCTATTTTAGTTTTTTAAATGTGTCGTAATGAAAACATTGTTTATTTCAGTTATCAGCCATCACAGGCTTCATCTGTGCATCTTTTGGCATCCCCATCCAAAAGTAGTGGGCGAATTTTGGTAAGTAGCATTGAAAAGGTAGAAGCGACGCCAAAGATTGATGAGCCAATGGACATATATTCTCAGACATCCAAAACCGAACAGGTTATTTTTTGCTGATCTAACAAAAAAATTCAAAAACTAATAGCTACCGGCGCCAAATTGTTAATTTCTTATAGGTTCTACCTCAGTTAGCATCGAAGCCGCTATTGCGTCCTGCTCCTTTTCCGGAATCATTAACAGCTATGTTGAATGATAATTGTTCTATTACCTTTCCTATCCCTCAGCAGCGCCGATCATTATCGATATCCGTCCCTTCGGTAAGTTACAATTACCGCAATATAATTCACTGCATAATATACTTTTAGTTGGTTGAAATGTGACTGACATATATTCTGCTTAGAAATATAAGATAAATTAATACTAACTGTAATCATTCAGTTAACTTTTTAGTATAAAATTTTTTTCAGAATTGTTTGAGTAATTTTTATTGATTTAGTAATCAGTTGAAATAGTTTTTAATAACTTTTTGCTCAAATAATCTTTTGTAGAAATGATTGCTAGATATCTATAATTTGATTACAGACTGAAATGTGTTCAGTAAATAAGATTGATGTATTGAATGAGTATGAAGTAGCGGCAACTGTAAAATTGACGAAATTATGTGGCATGAAGGATACAACAGTACTATGGACAGCTCATTTGGATCCGGTTGTGTGTTCCGTTGCAGCTAATAGGTCTTCCTCTTATTTGAAGTTTTTGTTTACTTACAATATTTTAAAAGAAAACTTTTAATTATTAAAACATCTGATCTCATTTTGAAAAAATGATTGTTCAAAAGAGGATCTTGAAAAAACAACTACTTAATCTTACACGTAGTGATATACTTGTAGATTTCTCACTGAATGCGATAAATTGTTGTTAAAAGTAGTAGCTTATCTCATTTGACAAGTGGAAAATGTTAACTCAGATTAAATTAGGGCTTTAAGTAAATTTTTTCAAATGGTTTTCTTACAGTTACTGGTTTGTAGCTGGTTGCTACGATGGCAGTATCCATATTTATTCAACACCATCCGGTCGATTACATACATTCTTTACTATCGATTCATTACCTTTCATAATTCAAGTGCATCGAAACTACCTTTCTCTTTGCTCGTCTCAGGGATTGGTCTATTCTTGGTTAGACTTCTTTCATTTTTCCTCTCGGTTCAGGGGGTAGATAGCAATTTGTGAGGGCTTTGTGAAGATAATTCTTTTCTCATTTATTTTTATAAGTAAAAAGTTTATGTTTAACGGTTTTTTTAGGAATATAGAAAGTAGAAAGTGTATTATGTCAAGGAAATCAATTGCTGATTTCTGCGAAAAAGGTGATTTTCAGCTTGTTGCAGAAAACAAATTATTTGTTTTCTTTTGTAATCATTATCAAAAATTTCGACAAACACTATCATTAAATAGTTTTTATCATTTATCTGATCAGTTCAGAAATTGCCTTAATATGCGAAATTTCTTCGTGCTAATAACTGGGCAATTTATGGCATATTTATTCATTTTGTTTAACATTAATCGATTTCCTTGACACCGATATAATTAATTTACAGATTGTAAAATAGTTTCTTGTACATTATCAGACATAGGAGAACCTGTCATTACTCTTTCAAATGGAAAAACTTACTCGTTTTTGCTGTCGCTGGATTGCTGGTAAGAAACACTTTGCTTGTATTTTTCTTGCTAAAGGGGAATGGAAGTATAGCTAACATGAGCTTTTTATTTTGTTCATTTAAAATTATCATTGTTAGAATATGTTGAACTTTAATTTGATGTGTATATGAAAAAGGTTGAGTCTTGGTTTTAGGCAATTGCTGTTTGATGAAAAAAGCATCCTGCCTAGATTAAGTATTCCATCAGTGAATGCTTCGGCTAGTGCTTTACTTGGTCCTATAAAAAGGTTGGTTGTTTGTTGGAGCTTTTTCTCTTTTTGCGAATTTTTATGATTTCTTCTCTTATTATCCCTAAACTAGAAATTACTGTTTTTTCAGCAGCCCAATTCATGTGAACAGTGATGTCCAGATCAGTGCTACACATTCATTCTTAGAAGAAAGGCTTTGCAGTGCACTTTCATTAAGACTTCGCAATGATTTTCGTCACTACCTCAATTTATACGTACGATCTCTTCTTCAACATGGTGGGAGAATTGTAAAATTAAGTTTTCTGGAAAAATAATCCATAATCCACTTACATAGCATATAAATTTCTGAATTTTTAAGTGTGTCTCGCGACTGGCTATAACACAGACGAAAAGTTTGTTTAATGAAAGCTTTTTTCAAAAGGATAATGCCCAACAGTTTTGCCTGGTATGACCATGCTACATAGTTATGACAAAACGGTCCACTCTGACCGTTTTCAGATTTTGGATTTTCATTGTAGAGCTGGCAGGGAACCTAAGAGTCAGTGAGATATTTTCTTAATGGATAAATGAATGAGGGAAGACTGAGTAAAAAAAAGTAGAAACTTGTGGCTCAGTGTTCGATTTCCAGTTCAAAATAAAAATGAATTTTTGAAACAACAGCGCTTTTTTAGGTTGTAATGAACATTTCTGATTTATCAAATCGTTATTGCTTTCGCCTGTTCTAGGATGTACTGCAAAGTTAAATGAAATTCTTTCGACATATTTTACCGCCGTTTCAATCTGTGGATTAAAATGCGATGTACTATTGCGCGAAATATTGGAATTGGCAAAAAAGAGCGAAGGATGCAATGAATTCATTCGCGATATTACTTTACGCCTTGAATCGCTTATTTCTCATCAATAATACTAATGTTAATGTTTCATTCATTATAAAATTGTTTTTTATTACAGATTGCATTAAATTTCTGACAATTATCGTAGCTCATTCTGAAAACCTTTCTAGTTTTAGGCACACACTTCTTTTTTCTACTGTATTTTAGTGATTGAATCAGCTTTTTCTAAAAATTTTCGAAATACATGCTCAGTATTTATGGGTGATACTGAAGGTTTTTTTATTTCGTTTTTACCTGAATATACTGCATTTAATGTGTTACTGCTGTGTTTTCATTACCGTGAAATCATTTGTTAATTATTCGAACTGTTATATGAATTAGTAATTATTCTATGAGGTTTTATAGATCTCCTTAAAAAAAATAAAACTGGGATTACATATATTCCTGGTTTTATTTTTTTGTTGTTTTAATCATTATCTTGTACGGGAATTATGGCTTTCGAATGACTTTTTTTGAATAAACAAAAGAAGCACTTATAATTTTAAAATATGCATTTGATGGCGAGCAATCTCTCCACCTGTTTTTTCCCTTATTAATTTAATTCAACAGAATATAATTACGCAAGCGTATCACTTCCTACACACATCCATCATTGCTCCTCTATCTTTGATTCTTTGTCAAAAAAAGTTACTTCTACTCTGACAATTTTCCTATTAGAAAGATTGAAATTCAGAAACCTCTTTTCCTGTTCTGCATGAGAATTATTAATATTAGTAGAGCAATGGCAACAGTACCTGTTAATCTTGTTTTATTCGGTATAGCACGCGAATTGGCAAATTTATCGGAACGAAATATAAACGTGCCGAGTGTGCTAAACTGCCGGCAGCTACGACAACTAATATTTCATGAGGCTCTGTTTTTTTTTTTTCACTTCTGTTATATCCATAGCTTATGAATTGATCACTTAAAGATTTATTGGACACCGACCTTTTATTGCTTATCGATACTTTCCAGAAGATTTTGAGCTTTCTCAATAGTTTTTTAGAACACTGAGCTTTGCTAGAAAATTTTATTCGAATCACTTTTTTCTAAACATGATGAAAATTATGACTGATAAATACTTTCGTTTAGTTAAAGCTATGCAGTAAATGATAAAAATACCAATTTTACCATTTCGAAATAAGCTTATAGTTATTAAAAATAAGTAAGAATAGACGACCTTCCGATTGATAAGTGAATTTAGTTCATCATAGGACAAACGATTTCTTCATTTTGCAGCAGTTATTTCCATATGTTGCTAATTCAGTACCAGATGAATTAATATGAAAGTTTAAATGAATAAGCAATGAAGTAAAATCAATGTTTTAATAAATTTTTAACTTTTTAGATACTTAAAGAATTGGCACCAATCGAAGAATGTTGCATGTTAGCTCTAAATCAAGAATATATCGATGATCATAATGATACATTTACGATCAGTGCGTATTCAGAGATCGCTGTAATACCACCAATAAATGGTGGTTGAATTTTTGAAAATTTTCTTAGAGAAAGCAGCACTTTTGTGGATGCTTTTTTTTTTCATTGAAAAAATTACTTGTACATCTATTAAAGAATCAATTCAAATGTTTTAATATACTAAGTTAATACTAAGAAAGAAAATAGTACTATAAACTGATTAATGTTTACACCATTAATTTTAACACAACACATTAACGCTGCGAAATATTTAACAGATAATGACATCAATAAATTGTTTCTTTATTCAACAAATAATTACGGATTGAATATTAACAGACTATGATTTAATGCCTATATGTTATTTTTTTCGCTTCAAATATAGTACTAAATTTCAATTCAAGGACAATGTTCCAAAACGCCATTCATTTGTGTGTAATCGTATCAGCTTGATGGTTTTACATCTAAATCCCACCATACACCTAAGAGTGATGGTTTTCTACGGTGAAGTTTTTTTATTTAGGGTATCAACAGAAAGTTTCAACGCTGATAGCATTACGCGGTATATTCTAGCAGTAATAATCAAATTTAGAATTCTAATAATCACCTAAAATAATATTCTTTAATGCTTGATACATCAGAAATAAATATGAATGATAATAACACAAATCGTACGAATCGATAAATTAAGTAAACTATGTGTCATGAAAATAAATGAAACTCAAAATTAGTGGAATTATAGAATAAATACAGAAATAAATTATTATATAAAAAAAAGTCAAATTGTCGGCTATGGATTTGGAAGAAAGTATCTCTCGAGAAGAAATAAACATTGAATTCCTGCGACTTTTGATTTAATATTTAGCAGATTTTATCAATTAGAAAAACGAATCCAAAAATGTCGTGAGAGACTTGCGAATTATTAAAATTGCTGTGAAGATAGTGTTAGTTCAACATTCAGCAGCTGGTTTCTTCATGTTCATTTTTTGCATTATCAATTTAAAGAATTTTTTGCATTATCAATTTACAGAAGTTGTTCAAGTTTTAATGAAACACATTGGTAATGATTGAATGGTTAATTTTTTTGCATGTTTCATAACGGGCAAATTTTTAGCACATTAAATGATAACTAAATTTTCAAAATCCTAATAACGAGAGAATAATCAATATTCTCTGGAAGGATTATTCATTCCGGTACCGAACTATACAACAATATGGCTCCGCAAACAGTTACGGAACCAATAATAAATATCAAATTCAATTGCATGTCGTGAAATATGAAGTAGGAAATCATAATAACCAAAATGATACTCACTGCTGAGGCAAAACTTTTACATAGGTTATCCAGATATCTCACCACCAATGATATGTAAATCCCTCCTGGAATAAAAACAAAAATTTTTGTTTTTTCATTCACTATTTACTGCTCAGGATTTTCACAATATTTCTTTCTTCTTGTATTTCATTCATTTTGTATTCTTGTTTTTGCTGATTTACCTATTTTCTTCGGGCCTTATCATGAATGAATAATTGTATTCGGTACCTTAATGGAAACTTACTTGACCAGTTTCGCCTTTGATAAGTTTCCAAAGACTATGTACTGCTCACAGTTCATGAAAAATTTCGTATAAATTTATCAACAGTTAATGAGAAAAAGAAAATATTAACTTACCTAAACTTAAAAATAGAATGATAGCAATGACATTAATATTATAGCCGTAAAAAAATCCTTTAGCCAAAATGCCGTCCCATTCAGAAAGAATGCATCCTGACCCTGCACTCACTAGGCCACAGCTATACATTTGAAGATTCCGGATCCAGAACGGTGTTTCACTGCCGTCTTTAAGCAAATATTCAAAGTATACACCTGCAAATTGACTAAAAATCGAAGTTCCTACTAAAGAAATCGACACTCCTATCACTTTTAAATTTACAATTATCTAAACTGATTTCCAATATTTATTACCAACCAGCAAAGCCTGCTGTCACACATGTAAGTAATACAGCGCCCAGTCCAACCATGTAATTTTCATCGTTTTTCATGACATTTCTTTCTTTTATGCTAAGCTATAAATTCAAATTATTAATTTTAAAATGGATGAAATCCAATTTCAGTTCGAGTGATCATAACAAATAATAAAATATCGTTAACAACTAAAACTACTTTTACTCAATAGAGTCCATTGTCCTGATGGTAGTTTTTAACATTTTACAAAAATAATAAATTTTTTAGTTCGCTAAAGCAGATCTATAATAAATCAAAATACTAGTTAATAGGCAAAATACATATCTTTTTATAATTTTTTAAAGATTAGCTTTGTTTCACCCTTTTAGTTGTATACTTTACTTGCACTTATATGTACTTCCAATGAAAAGATAATCAGTATAATCAGAATAAACAAATGTTTAATTCCACTAATTATGAACAAACATCGTTTAAGTAGTTATCGTTTAATTCCACTAATTACTATGAGCAAATATTAAAAGAAATACCTCTACAGCAGCAACACCGCTGAAAAGCAAAAAAATTGCAAGCCATCGTGTAAACGAGAATCGTCGTCCAAGGATAATTATCATAAAAATAGCCGTACTGACCACTTTAAGTTGAGTAGTAATATGATAGATACCCGCATTCAAATTTGACAATGCCACAAAGTCAAGATTATTTTGAAGTGCATAAGCAATTGAGGGAAAAGCCATTTTTAGTAGATCTTTTGGCTTCCCAAAATACTCCTTTTTCAAACACTATAATTCAATTAATTGTTATAGATCTATCCGACAGATCTTTGAAAAACAAACTGTTTAAGAACTGCCATTCAACCAATTTATTTTAATTTTTTGTTTCATTTTCAAAATTTAATGTTACATTTCAAAATTTAATGTCAATAAGTAGACTATGAAATGAATAACAATTATGCAAGTAATGTCATCAGATATCAAGATGAAGTAAACTTACTCTTGTAAATTCTTTTACATTATAATTACTAAGTTGAAAGATAAAGAATAAAGTAATAATCATTTTGATCACTTCCGAGAGATATACAACTGTTGTTGGAAAGTATTGCTGGAAAAAATTAAATATTTCAATAAGTTTTTTTTTTTCGAATCATAGTTTAATTGCATTAAACAGTGTAGAAAGAACAGGATTTAGAAAAAAAGAAAGAATTCAATTCAATTTAACTAAAAATTATATAAATCGTTAATGACAATATGCAATAAGTAATACAATACTAATCTTTCCTATTTATAAAGCATAATGAAAGTAACAGCATAGAGAGAACAAAAATAATACCAAATAATTCAATAAATAAATAAATAGAGCTTGATTGATATTATATATTATATAAATAAATAATGCTGTTTCGAAATTAATAGTCGGTAATGAAAATATATTAAACAATGATAATGAATATTATTTTACATGGAAATATTTCATGACTTTTTCAAATTGCAGATATCTTTGAAAAATATAAAATTTTTTTGAATTATAAACAATAATCACATACCAAATGTTTAGGTGTAGCTGAACGAGAATATCTCACCATCACTGTATAGCTTGTCCAAATGAAAATCATTTGAACAATAACGAAACACTTGAAACGAAAGCTAATTCGTTCTTCCCTTTCGTCCATTTTTGATGATGTTAATGGAATGGTATCTTCCGATTGCGGTAATTTCTGCCTTTTCCCATTCGCTAACATTACTGCAATAAAATGATAAAGTTTGAATGATAAGTATAATATATTGTGCATTCTATTGCGCTCATGTAAACCTGCAAGTGCGGCAGAATGCACACCATGAAAATGCAATTAGCTTACTATATTTTACCCGAAAAATTTCCGAAGATCAAACACGATGGATACCTCGATCGCATGTTATTTCAAAAGAAGAAATGAAGGACATTGATTATCGCCAATCAATAAACCGTTCAGGGAAAAAAATAGTTATCAAAACAACTGAAAGTTTATTCTCTCTGTGAATGGTGCCTTTCTTTCCACTATCATTATTAGCGGAGTTAAAATTTTTAACGGCTGCAAAAGATTTTTTATTTGTAATTCAATCAGCTTAAACAAGTTTCAAAAATTATAATTTCTAGATTGGGATTAAAACTTCAGCACTACATATCCCAGGCTTAGATTCCAGATGCAAAATAAATTCCGTCTGACACTTTGCTGCCAATAGCGCAAATTTTATAATTTTCCACCTTATACCTGCAACCGTTTTCTGCAAACGACTGCAGTACTATAATGAAAGCAACATGTGTAAATGTAAATGAATGTACAGAGCGTATATACATGAAAAGAGAATGCATGATTATACAAATTTTTGATACATATATATATATATATATATATATATATTTGCATATTTATTATATTTCGCTACAAAACAAGGTTGATAGAATATAGCAAAAGTGAACATCAATTCAAACCACAATAGATATAAGGCATAAATAGCTGTAACAAGGAAATTAATAGAAAATTTCGGACTAGCAGGAAGGATAAAAAATTGAGAACTTAAATGACTGTAGATTATATTGTACAAACTTCAAAGTTGCGATCAAAACAAGCCTCTTTCCGTATTTTTAACTTCAAATCATTGCTCTGTCTTCATGACCTTATATTCTTTCAACTAGTTTTTAGAAGAAATGAGATCGAATATCGCAACAGACCAAAATATCCTATTCTGGAATGCAAAATTCCCTTAATAAAACTACAGAAAGAAAAACAAATTAGATCTAAATAATGAGGTCTTCTAGAATGAAACACCAAATGAATGTATCGTACGAATGATACAAAAATTATTATCCGAAGGCTGACACATAAAGAATGTAAATTCAAGCAATTCACTTGGTGCAAATAAAAATGGCGCAAAACGTATAATTGATAGTTAAAATTCCATCCAGTAGCTGAAACTTCAAATTCGGCTAGCTTCAAATACAACTAATTAGAAATCACCATTATTTATTCTGAAAGAATTGATTAAAAAGCTAAAGTTGAAGAAAAAAACAATTTTTTGAAGTTTAAATTATTTCGTGACCCGAAGATTAAAACACAGAAAACAAGCACTACCCATTCACACATCAGAAAAAATAAATTTTACATCTCAGCGTTCGTTATGTTCCGAAAGAAGTTGACACGGCAAACAGAGGCAGTTAAGATATTGAAGAAATCGGATTAGGTGGAGGACCCATTTGTGAAAGAACTTTGTCCAACCACTAAAACAAGCACATGTATTTTCGTTTACTACTCGAAACAAAAAAGTTGACAAAATATTAATATTGCTTGAATACAAGCGAAAAAAAAATGTAAAATAAAAAAAAAGTGTGGTATTTTTTGTTTGATTCTCTTTATTTATTCTGGATTATTTTAATGCAAATTAATCAAATTTAAGTGTCAATAATGCATTAATATAGAATAAAGTTAAAGGCATACCTGTAATGGAGCATGGAGATGTATTTCAATCCAACATGGCGTAGATGTTACATCCTGCCTTTGATATTCAGCACCCCAACCTTTTACAAATGACATACGTATGATTGTCATATTTGTTAGCTCATAAATTGCATCAAACGAACAACAACGTGTCGATTCCGCTAACAACTGCAAAAAAAACAACGAATTTTAAACTAAAATTGACATCGATAAATATAGAGCTAAAGTAATTAAAAATCTAGAAGAAATATCTTATTATAATTTTCTATGTCAAAAAAATATTAAATTTTAAATCGTTGTAAAAAAAACCTCTATATTTTGACATGGCGAAAAATTTTCAATGCTATTTAAACATGTGGAGCTAAAATAATTAAAATTTTAAAATAAATATCTTATTATAATTTCTATGTGAAAAAAGTATTAAATTTTAAATCGTTGTAAAAAGCAAACCTCTCTAAATTTTGACATGTCGAAAATTTTCAAAGAAATGCCATTTGTTATTTTGCATACTGTTGTGGGATGAAAACTGTGAAAATAATTGCAGTTACGAGATTGAATGAATATGGCACTTTCACTCTGGCATTCAGCGAAAAGCGTTCCTTGATTTGGGACATAAGTTAGTTTTACTCCTGAAATTTAAGAATAAAAAATAAAAACCTCCATGATTCCAACACAGAATACAAAAGAGACTGCGACGAAAACTCGAGATTAAAGATTAAAGATTAAAGAAACTTATAATGAACAAAAAAACAAGAGCTATATGATAATTTACCAAATCTCTAGGGCAAGAAATTTAATGGCTGTAACTTATGGAAAATAAAACCTCGTCCAATACGTCGTCTAGTTGATTCGATTTGTTGATTTCTATTTACGTTGGACAAAAGACCAAGACATATTTTACTAGGATTTGAGGTTGGATCCGTAAAACCATCGATTTCAACAGTTGGGGATGAAACTTTATATTGCTCGCCAACACGAGTATTGAGTTCGAAATAGCTAATCGTAGCCCAGAACTTTCCTTCCTCATATGGTACCTGAAATGAAATTTTCAAGCGACTAGCAAAGATAGAATATAGTTTGAAACAGATTTTCTGTATCAGACCTAAGAGAAAAGTCGGACACAAATTTTTTTTAAATCATCAAAAGACATAGTTTGAAACAGATTTTCTGTATCAGAACTGAGAGAAACCGGACAGAAATTTAAAAAAAAAATTTAATCACACCTCTATCGTGGTAACGCCATTCGGGATGACTATACTTGCATCCATTTCGTCGTCACGTTTTGACATCATCACCTAGAAATATCTTAACTTTTCTTTGGATACCAGAAAAACTGCATATAAATTCCACAATTATAGCATTTAAAGGTGAATAATATCTAAAGGTGAACAAAAAACACATTAAGAATAAGCATTACAAGTAAGAAAAATAAAAATCTAAAACAATCTCCTTGTGAGCAAATGAATGATTCAACTTCTCTACACGATATTTGAAGATCAATAAGAGGTAGGAATCAAAATCTGATCGAAAAAACACAACATGTGACGTATGTCAAAAGAAAAACTGAGTGAAATTCTGGGAAAAAAAAAAATGAAAAAAGCTGAAACGAACTGCATCACTATAGTGACTGAAGTCAATATTGCATGGCATCGATGAAGCCGATGGACTCGTCTGTAATCTGGAAATACGTAATAGTCGCGGTATAATATGTGGCGGTGGTTCGGTATACCGTGGCACCAAAACTGGAGGCAAAATACCAGCACTTTCCACTCTTTCGTAATGGTATGGATTGATACACACATCTTTTTGACCTGATTCGTAACAATAACGGCAATCATCGATTGCTTTCAATTCATGATGTGATTGCAAATCTGGCCAACGATAAACACGACAATAAATCACATGAGGCAATGCTTTTCGATGCGATATCTGAAATTGGTACTATAAGGAGGATAAAATATGACTTCCCTAGAAAAACTAAATATTCTTCCTCTACATTTCGATGAACACAAAGAACGGATTCTTGGAAAACTGTTTTTGTATTAGCCAAGAATATGCAAGCATATCTTCCAAAAAAAAAGAGGCAAGGTTTATAAGAGGATCACAATGCGAAGATTTAAAATCTTATTTTTATCACTCGCCAGTTAATTCCAATACTGTCTTCTGAGTTATCTATAATCTCTCAAACTATATTCAAACATATTAGACATTATCCAACCTAATCGTTACTACCAAAAAATCTGCATTACTCTATAATATATCCAATCCAATCGTTACTATCAGAAAATCTGCATTATTCGATAATAAAGAGCTCATTAAAAAAAAAATATATATATGGAAAAATATATATGGAAAACAAAGAAAATGAGAGATGGACCTGTAATCTGCCATCAAGTGATCGTGGTATGGTAACACAGTCTGTTCGTTGACGTCCTTGACACTGCAGTGCCATTTCTAAACTTGCTAGTGCTTCTTTGTTATGTTTTTGTAGTTTTTTCATCAAGCTATCGATAGCTTTCTTTGACCAGCTTTCTTCTTCATCCCCTGTAACTGATTTAATTCCAAGGAATAACAGTCTGTTTAGCACATCTCTGAGAGAGATTAGTACAAAGAACACTATGCCAAGTTAAGTCTGCACTGAATTCCAAAGAAAAATGAAATCATGTATGTATGTGTAACATACCTTGCTTCCATCCAAGACGCTTCGCCACAGCAGTGCCACGCTGACCGAGCAAGTTCTCGAACTTCATTGTCTTCTTTACTGCACCTGAAATCTGAAATGAAATCAGTTTAGCTCAATGCATCACTCATCAAACTCTATACTGCACATTTTACACTGAAGCATTTCAAAAAGGCATGGGGAGAGGAGAAGCGCAGGAATAAAGTAAGTTCGGAGAGAAACAAGAAAGAAAAAGGGATGTTTATAAATGGAATGGAGAACGGATTTCAAACGCTGATTGAGGTCTATAACTAAACCGAAGGTAAAGCTTTAAAAAAAGTCACTGCAAAAAGGTCAACAAAGTGGGATAGTCAAGCGGTCAAGTTCACAGTCCATAGATTAGGATGCAACGAATCGTAATAATAACGTGGGATGTAACGTTGCAGATATGAAAAAATCCATAGATTACGCGAAGTTACGTGTCATCTGTGTAAGGACGAAGCGTCGTCAATTCCCTCGGAGGGTTCACTGATAAATAATAAAGGAGTGAAGCAAAGTGCCAAGGTATAACTGTGCCGGTTGCGTACGCTCTTCTATAGTAAAAGCTAACTGTGAAAGAGTCATCTTAGGCTACAGCACGTTGCTGCACCAATTGAGCCATGTGAAAATCACTCATTAACCCATAGAACAGTTTTTTCGTACTGCAGGAATAAAGATGTTATTGATTACTAAGGGTCATGGTCAGAGTCAGAATTTTTGAAGTGAAATAGTCAAAGTCAATCAGGTGAATGAAAAAAAATATCCGGAAAGCAGTGCCGTTTACGGATAAGCTGTTTTGTTCAAAAATGAATGGTCAGATATGTCTGTTTAAGAAATATACACAGTTTTTCAGGATATCAACAATATGTTGATGAAAAAGAACAACAGTTTGGACAAGAGAGGCATGAACGAAGCATTAGAAAGTAACCCTCAAATGAAGGAAGATAGAAGTCCGGAAGATGTAGAGAACGAAATGGCATTCAGTGACAGGGTAAGTGATTATAGTCTGATATTCATTTAATTTTGCTTGACTTTAACATTTTCAAATTAAAAAATAGGCAAAGAGATAGCTTTAATTAGAATATTGTTTAAAATAAATTTAAATGTGTGCAATGTGATTGATTGTAAGAAGATAAAAGAAAAAGGCGAGAATTACATTCACCCTTTTTAATGTCTCTATTGTGCATGATTGATAAATTGCTTTTCATAAGTAGCATAAACTTTCAAAGTGAAAAGTGTTTGCTGTACCGCAATTTTAGGTGATTCGTACCGTTGCTTCAATCAGTGGTAATGGATTGTGTTCTACTGATATGGATGTTGTCGATCAAATAAATGCTTTGTTTCCAACGGAACAGTCATTATCACAATTGAATTCAGTGATGCACTCTATAGAGGATGAAATCGTTGACTTGGATTGTCATCTGGCGAAACTTGTTGAAACGCATGGAAAAGCTGGTACTGAAGGAGACCAAGCTTTACGTGAGGTTAGTTGTTCTTTTGTATCAAATACTTATGATTGACTCGTCATATATACGTAATCAGAGGTGAGAACTAAATCTTTTTTTTTCAGATTTTTAAATGATATTTGAGTGTTTAGGCTCATGCGGCGATGAGAGATTTAGAAGAACGTGTACGTACGGTTTGCTTGAAGACACAATCCTCAGAAAGTGTTGTGCAAGAAATGACTCGTGATATTAAACAACTTGATGTTGCAAAACGGAATTTAATCTCGTCACTCAAAGCTCTTCATCATCTTCAAATTTTGCTGACTGGCGTCAATTCACTCGGTACTTTTGTCTTGTTAGATAATTGTTTAAATTCATGTATAAAGTAAATAATTTCCACAGTATCAATAGTTATAGTAAACGGAAAAGTTATGTACTTTTGCAGTTAAATGCTTAATTCTAATCACTTAGAACAGTTTAAATCTCTTGTTAGTGGTGTTGGATTGCATTGAATAACGTCTGATAAAAAACAGTATAAATTGAAATGATAAGCGTCATTTTATCTTTTGTATTATGGTATTCTACATCTCATAGTTTCGGAAAATTTTATCGTTATAATGCACGTACAATAAAGAGGGCAAAAGTTCTATTACAAAATAATCAAGTCTATTCAAATTTTATAATCAACAATAAGGTGGTAAAAGCTACCTTCATTGTGGAATTTCAGAGAACTTGAAAATTCCGATCTATTGCAGTTTGTTATCAAGGTTTATGAAACGTATCTGTGGTTCCAACTTTTAGAATAGGATAATTTAGGATTACGGCATTTGCGATTTAATGACCGTATGAACTTGAAGGGTCATGGATAGATCAACATCGATATGGTGATATTGCTTCGCAATTACCTGCTGTTTTGAATGTCTTACAACTTTTTACTCCTTATATAGAAGTGAAACATATCAAAAATGTCGCGGAACAACTTGAGCGACTAAAACAGCGACTAGCTATTCAACTTATTGCGGATTTGAAGCATTCATTCCAGGTTTTTTGACTGATTAGTAAATATTTTTATTCAATTTCCTTTAAAGTCTTAATTCCTTTTTTTTTCAAAATATCAATGATTTAATTAATATCCAGACAGGAGTCTTGAATTCTTCGGTGACTGATATGTGTCGCGTTGCTTCATCGTTAGATTCAGCTATTCGAGAAAACTTTTGCAAATGGTTTATAGAACATCAATTGTCCGAGTATACTGTGCTTTACGCTGAAAGTGAGAGTATCGCTTGGATTGACAAAATTGACTTGAGGTTGTTTCAAAATCTGGATTTTTTCAAATTTTAATTTACTGCTGGTACTTAGTCGAATACCTGTTCTTTTTGTAGATATCGATGGTTTGTGCAAAAATTGACAGAATTTGAAAAAACAGGTATGATGAAAGTGTTTCCTGCTGATTGGGATATGGGCCGACGTTTGACCCTGGGATATTGTAATTTGACTAGGTATCTTTCCATATATTTTTCATTAGATAATCTTTGTAAATATATATGAATAAAAATTTGAAAAAGAATCTTTGCCTAAAAATATTGCCTTCGATTTTTCACACAATTTGTCAGAGAGATGTTGGAACGAATGATGTCGAGACGCTGGTTAGAACTCGATTATAAAGTACTCGCGCACGCAATCAACCATACAATAATGTTCGAGAATCTACTTTACAAAAGATTTCCAGCAAAGGAAGGTTACAATTTTGAGAAGGTATATTCTCTTTAATTTGTAAAATTTAATGTAATCATTTCTTTGACAAGTCATGCTAAGAAATCAAAATCGTTGAGCAAGTGAGAAAATACTGTTGTTTGTTAACCATCAGATAACCTTACTATTGGTTAGATTAAACAGAGCAGCCAAATGCTAGAACTGTAAAGCTTTATCGGAGATTGCTGCATTGTTTTATCGAGCATTTTGATGCATTCGTGAAACACTCTGTGTTACTAAGAAATGTTTATGGTCGTGATCATGGTTTTGTAGCTAATAACAATTAGTTAGATATCTGATTGGACATGAAATTGAAAATGATATCTTGTTCATTTACAATGCTTTTTTAGATAGGTAATATTCGAAGAAAACGAATGGATTTTTTTAAAGAAAGCAGCCAGAATATGTAAATAAGAGCATAAAAATAAAATTTACTCATCTCTATGATGTCGAAACTAAGGAAACAATGCTAACATTCAATTTAGATAATTTGGCGAGCATTCGACAAGTATATGGATGTATTTGTGGCAGCGCAAAAGAAAAATTTGGATAGCTTTTTAGAGGAATGTGTAATAAGGATCAGGAGTGGTGCTGAACGTCCAACCCGAGAAACAGCGTCGCATGCATATCCACTTCCATCATCTGCTGATATGTTCCTTTTGTTGAAAAAAATAATTGCTGAGTCAACAAAACTCAGTTCCGATCCCAATTCTTTACTAAGGTTTGGAGTTACATTGTAATGATTCAAGTCTTCAGATTGGTCATTTGTTAACACTTACTGTTCAGACATCATTAGCAATATTGTTTAAGGTGGCAAATTCCATTTTGTCATTCAGTAATACACATCACAGTAGCAGAAAAATTTCTTTGTATAATGTGGCTTTTGTGAAAAGCATCGCAAACTGATCAACAAATGCAAAACTAATAAAAAATTCTTGTGTGAGAATTTGATCGCTTGGCTTTTGGTAGTCATGAATTTCATCTAGTTGTGTTTTGTATTTTTTTTCTATTATTATTGACTGCAAAAAATTCGATAAGAATTCAAATATTCGTTAATTTTGGTTAAGGTAAAATAAAGTTCAAAAATTTTTTCAGCAGTCTACTAGAGGTGCTACGCAACTGTCTACGTGGTTACGCTCACAGTTGTTTAACAGCTTTCCTACCGTCTTTATCAACTACTCAATTTTCTTCTACTTCAATTTTGCAGACTTTAATGAGGTTTTGTTTTCAATACTATTAATTTTTCTATAATTCGCTTCTTTTTATCTTTCCTTCCAAAGCATTTCGATTTTTTTAATTTACGAAATAGTGGCTAATTAGATTTAATCTTATCTAACAATTTCGAATTTTTATTAAGCTTAAATTTCAGGGATGAAACTGCAGTTCGCTTAACAGTTGATCAACAGTTTTTTACTTGCTGTGTACTTGCTACTGCTGATTGGTGTGCTGAAACAACACTCCAGTTGCAGGAAAAACTAAAGCAACGAGTGCAGGTGAGTATGGGCTTTTTTAACTCTTCAGGGAAAGAAGGAAATTCTTGTATTTCTTTTTGCTATGATCATCCTGAATTTGAAAATTATCCAAATGGTAAAAGGTATGCAAATTGTTATTTAACAGAAACTGTTTGGAACTCAGAAAAAAAGGTGCAGATCTATGACACATCAATTATGATCACCACATCTGTATTTTTTCAGAGCATCGATCTAAATCAGGAAATGGAGCTATTCTATAGTATATCAAACAGCGCCCTTTCTGTTTTGGTGCAGGATGTAGAGTCCACTTGTGATGCTGCTCTGCAAGCGATGGTGAAAAAAAAGTGATTTTTTGCGAAAAATTCTTGGTGAAAAAAAAAATTCTTTCATTTTTGTTTTTTGTTTTCTTTCAATGTTATGGGAGACATTAAACCGAGATCCTGCACTAACAGACTGGAACTTCATATTGTGAATTCATTCTGGAAGGTCGGTTGTCATGCCAATAGCGAATTTTGATACCGAGTAACAGACACATTGATATAATCAAAAATTCTTTCAGTTGGAATGGTGTAGAGAGTGTTGGTGATGAGTCACCATATGTTTCTTCGATACGAAGTCATCTGCGGTCAAGTGTGCCACTGATAAGAGATTTTTTCATTGATAGGCGAAAATATTTCGCACATTTTTGTTTGAAGCTTGCCACGCAGTTGGTCAATAAATTCTTGGGTGCATTATTCAGGTAGATATTGAATGATCATGTCATTGATTAAATTAATGAAAAAATAGTGCGGAGAAAAATGTAGTTATAGTTAAAAAATTAGAATAAAATGTAACAGTGACAAGTTCTTTCACCTAATAATAATTGTACAGTTAAAGTAACATATTATTGGTATTTCATTATAATTATTTATAAAGACAGAAATAGGATGTTTAGTATTACTCGCAAAACGCTCGAACTCTTCGCGTTATTCATGAAAAATTAGTGCTATTTGTTTCAACTGTTACAAGTTTATTTTGACATTTATTAATAATAATAATTTAAGGATATAATAAGAGAAGACGGGAAACACCCGAGAAAATCGTCCATCTACATAAAATGGGAAAGGCAAAAGTGGAATCTCGACGTTAATTCCTACTCCTTCCTTTGTGGTCGTATACAAATAAATGATTTTCATAGGCGATTTCCATCTACTCTTATTATTCTGTTTTGCAGCATAATACCAACTTAATTTCTGAATCTTTCTAACTTTTTTGATTATTGTAGCTGATTCGTAATCAGATATATTGCTGATCAGCTACAATAATCAAAAACAACTGACAAGCTTAAAATCTAGATGTCGGCCAGTGGGTGTCGCTGGTGCAGAACAATTGCTTTTGGATACACATGCATTGAAGACCTTTCTTTTATCTATGCCAACGGTCGAATCATCCATTAACACGAAACCACCAACGATGTATACAAATGTTGTGGTAAGAACCATGACTAAAGTAGAAATGATACTTAAGGTATGTTTTTGTTGTGCTTTATTTCGTTGTAGTTTGTTGAATCTGTGCTTGGTTTATATTCTTTAATTTATATTGAATGCGATAAGCAATTGCTCGATGACGAGTTATATACTCTGGATTGTAGAGCACTATTTTATATTGTGCTTTTATAAACTCCAGAATTTCTTTTTCCAGAACGATTGTAGTGTTACCAAGTAGAGAAGTAATCATCAGAAGATATTTGAGACAAGAACGACAAAAATTAAGTAATGAACTAAATAATGATTTCAACAGATTTTCTTTTTTTTTGTTTCATCTGTTTCACTTCAAACCGCTTAGATTATTATGTCGGAGATAAATTCACACGAAGAGTTTGTAATGGCATATATTCGACTGTTACCTGATTCGGATTCTTCAGAATTACAGAAAGTTCTAGAAATGAAAGCATTAAGACGTCAGGAACAGACAAGTATTATACAGCTGTACAAATCACGTATTGAGGGACAAACAACTGCTGTAGATTCTTGTGAGTTTTGCTAGTTTTTTTTGGTACAATTAAACTGGGGAAGAAACTAATGTGGCACTAATGTGGCAGTGGGAATACTTTAATATGAAACTAATGGCAGATTCTTTAAAACATAAATTCGCATTGTTCGAGTGTTAATTTTTTTCTATATTTCGATATTCAAGAGAAATAAGAGTGAAACTTTACAAAACTGATCCAACGATATGTTGAAAAGAAAATAAAAATAAAAACAATGAATTGAAGTCAGTCTCAAGTTACTATTAAAAACGAATAGAATTCGTGAATATTTCCAGTCATCAGACTTTTTCCGGAATGGAGTCCCCATTTTTTATTCTAGCATTGTTTTGGGACTAATAATTCTAAACTATTAGCTAACGAGGATAACTGAAGTGTGTGACGATCACTTGTTTAATGGAGAACTTGTTACAACTAAAAACTTTCATCGTTCTGTGCTGTTGTATGAACAAACTTTTCATAGATAAATACAGGGAGAAGTTTCTTAAGGAAATGGAAAAACAGAGGATGGACTTATCGTAACAAACCTCTCTCGAACTTATCAAAATTTTCATTTATTGATCAGAAATTCATGTATATAACGTAATTTTTGGGACTAAATTTCATGCAGTTGCAGTGAACATGCAATCGTCAGCGATCTCAGCACTAGAAAGTATTGGCGATTCGAGCATGAGAAGGTTGGAACAACTCGTAAAGAAGAAAGCATAATACATGAAATGCGAAGTAGTTAAATTTTTTATGTAAAAAAATGATGGATTGATATCGCTGATAAACAGTTGAACCCCTGTTGAACAAGGAAATCTCAAATTTCATTAATAAAGAAGATGGCATGTGTAAATTGGACAAAACAGAGTGCATTTCATTCCAGAAATTTAAAATGGCTGAGTTCCCAAAAAAAAACAATAGAGAAGGATGGGATGAGAAGTGCCAAGTAGCGTTATAATTTTTGCCATTTGTTTTGTCACGTAGGTTTCTTGAATTGGCCGTTTTGGCGGGAAAAGATTGAAGGTGCTGAAAAGGGAGAAAAGGAATCAAATTTATACGGAGATGCTGAACCAACGAGGAGTGGGAGGAAGTGTGAAGGCGTGCGTCACTGACGATAAACATCTTTGATCATTTCAATTGAAGTCCCTCGTAGACATTAATCTAGTACGGTGCTCTGATGCGTAAAGTGAAATAGAAAGCGAAAAAATCATTTCCTTGATGGGATCTATCTATGATTCTTGTTTCAGAAAGTTGACAGTTAATGCTATGACTTTGAGAGATTAGAGAAGGGTAACGGTATGAATATCTATTTCCGAGAATTTGACATCATTTGATGCGTATACTTAAATAGAAGTGTTATTGGTAAATTGGTGATATAAAGTAATAGTAGTAGTACTGCAAGAGTCTCATCTTCGTAGGGCACTACTTTTACCATAATTATCCAAGTTAGGAGAGGGATGCAAGAAAGAATTAATACTAGGAATGGACAGTGGATAGTTTCAAGGAACTTCAGGAATAAATTGTGTCGGTTTGATTGTTTCAATCTAAAATGTTGATTATATATTGAATAACTTAGGTTTGGTGAAAAAGCAGAAGTTATCATTCTTTTGAATTTTAAATTTAGCAATCATTTTTCCAGTTTCATTCAAATACGAAGGATGTCAGGACGTTCTTCAACAAAATTGTCATTTGAATTACCACTTTTTCATGCCTATGTCACAGGTTAAATACTTTTCTTTTCATTGAACAAGCGCTGTAGATGAGTTATGTCTTCAGAGTTGTTGAAAATATTTTCTGATTTATATTTTTTTTAAATGTCAAAAAAAATTAAAGAATTTACTAACAGCAGTGAAGATTTATTTATAAATTTAGGCAATGATGCATGTGATGTGTTGTTGAAGCTGGAAAAAGAATACGATATAAAATTTGTCATAGATGAAGATTCGGTTTATGTGGAAGGTTTGAAGGGACGGGATCTGAAACCCATCAAGGAGACACTTTTTGATGCTTGGAAGATGGATAATTTTCAGCGGTTATTCATCGTGTAGTCATTAGTAGTTGAGATAACGTCATTGTTTTCCGAAAATCATTAGCTAATGATTAAAGGTGTAGAAACGTCAACACAACCGACTAATACGAATGTTGACATTCACATTAGTTGACCTTAGCTAATTTTAAACTCTGAGATAAACATTGATTATTGAATTTCATGTTCCTTGAATTATTATACTTTGAAAGATTTTGCAGTGCTATAGAAATTTGTGAATTAACGGCTAAATCAAACTGTCAATTTCTGTTTGAAGTATCACCTTTGGAAGCTGCTCTTATACAATTGAATGTTAAAACTATTCTGCACCGGACGGGAGTATTGCAGTTGAAAGTATATTTTTGAATGAAAACACGAAATAATCCTGTTTTTTTAATATTATCCTCTCACTTTTCTGTGGCAGAAAATATTAAAAACTACATTGCAGACAGATAATGAAGGTCATGTATGCATTTTTGGAAACGGAGCCTCAATTTGTAGTGCTTACGATACAATTGCTTCGATTCTTCGCAAAGCATCTTTTAAAAGCAGTAAGTTTAAGTTTCTGTAATTTGTTTTCGTATACAAATAGCAGATGAGTGATGAAAGCATAATAAATATAATAAATTGGCAAAGAAAAAGTATGAATCAGATAGTAATGTAGTTTATTGACAAATCTTCTTCCCTTAGATTCTTAAAATCACTTTAGAAGTTCTGCAACATATTTTCAGATACCACTTTGCAAGGCTTTAATGAACAACCTTGTGTTCTTCTCATGTATGTTCCGAGCACAATTGCTCAGTTTGTATTTTCAAATGATAAGCGAAGTGTGAATGCATTAGAACGTATATCCCGGTGCATCGTTGAACCACATTTTAAGGATGCAGATGCAGTTGGTAACATTAAGATTGATATAATCACCAAAGACGTATGTTTCAAACAATTTGTTTTAGTTTCCATATTTACATTGCTTCTTAAAGCTTTTTTTTTTTTAAATCTTGTTATCTCATTAAATTCAATGTTATGATTTTCATATCTATTATATGTATAACGAATATGGTAGGCCGAAACAGGAAAAAGGTAGTAAAAGTCATGCAAAAGTAGCGCTGTAAAAAAAAAAGTAGCGCTGCAGAAATATCTAGAGAGCATGAGAACATTGCGATGGAAGCCTAAATGATCTTGCTGAGCTAATTTGCCATTATAGCTTCATAACGCACTAACTGCAAAGACAGCATTGATGGAACTGATTGAAAGTCATGTTGGGAAAATTCATAAATGGCCAAGTCCGGTAACTATTTGCTGTGGTTCGCTTGTATCACGATCAATTCCGGAAGTATCTTGCCGTTCATGTGTGTTTTTCACTTTTTTAAAATTTTATTTTGAATTTGAAATAAATTCATTGAGAAATCTTTTTAGTAGTTTACTAAAAAGATTTCTCAATGAATTCTCAATGAATTTCAAAGAATTTCTCAATGATTTCTCAATGCATGCTTTCCAGTGGATGAGTGTAAAGCCGTACTATATGGTTCGACAGATAAAAGCTTGACTTTTAGCGTGCCTGATTTTGAAGCTTCGCGTCTAATTGGTACTCGAGGATTAAATAAAAAAAGAATCGAAGAGCGCACAAACTGCTTCATTTCGGTTTTGTATTTTATAAAATTAAAAAAGATTTTCTTAGAACCTTGTTTTTATATTTCTCAATGAATTCTCAATGTTGATGAAATTCTTTCTTTTTCATCAATATGACGATTAGAACACTGAAATCGTTCATGATACATAATTGATGTATAATTCACCAATGTGATGATTGTTGTAGTTGCACACAGAAGCAAAGCATGGCGGTGAATTTCCTGTAGAAGTAATCGGCCATAATGTGAAGGAATGCGAAGCTGCTCAGATTTATATCCAAAATTTTCTGAAGGAAACACCGGGACACAGCAATATGACTCACAGTAATCTGTTGGGTGCAATGCAATCATCTCAACGTTTTAATTCTGAAGTGGAATTGTCACAGATGAATATGTTGTCTCATATCTATAAGTTGGTTACTAATATTTTCATAATTTAAGTGCAGCTATTTGAATAAATCCCGTGTATCGATTAACTGGAAACATAGGTCTTTCTTCTTATCTAACTTTATTGTTTTTTAGGCCATTATACAACGCAAGAATGGAAAATCCAATGCAGTGGCAATCAATGCGAAAAGTTACGTCAAGGAAAATTTTCAGCGACGGCGAAATTTAGTATAATTCTTGTGTATACATTATATGCTCTGCGAAGAAAATTGATAAGGAAAGGCACCAATGATGAAAAGAGGAATTGAATAAGAAGTGCATCACATCTGTGCTATTTCCCTCATGTATTCAAGATTAATTATTTATTTTTCATTTCTTCGCCCAGCAATTTTTTCTTTCTTGATTCGATATTTTGATTTCTTATTGTTTTGTGGAAATAAGTTATTTTTGATATTTCAATTATTTCTGAAACTAAAACATGTGTAAATAGCTATGCCTTTATTGTTAAATGTAGAACTCCAATAAGTAAATAAATGTTTTTACCACATTTCATAGTAAAATTTCATATATAATAATTACTATTGCCAGATTTCAAACACTACATTTACATATTTTAAATAATATGTCTTGAATTAATGAATTAGTACCAATTTTTTGGCATGAAATATGATTTAAAATTCGAATTTTAACTGCTCGGATTATTGTTTGCATTCTCATAACTAACGCGCGGCGTGGCTGAAAAAGGATGACGTCGCAGTACTTTAGTCCGCCAGGTGGTGGTGGTGGTGCTGCACCGGGGACGGTATCTGCATATTTCGCAGCACCAGGAGCGAGACCGAGTGGTAGTGGTGGAGGTGGTGGTGGTGTAGGTTTTGGAAGCGGCGGTGCTGGTGGTACAACGTCTGCCTATTTCGCTGCACCGGGAGCAGGGGGAGGTGAAGGTGGATGTGTTTCGGCGTATTTCTCACCAACTGCACCAGGAGGTTTGGGAGGGGGAGCTGCAGGAGCACCTTCAGGTGATTTTTGATGTCAGAGCTTGAAAGTTCAAATTAAAATACCAACATTTTTTGGGAAAGTTGAAAATGTTTAAAGAAAGTCGAATTTTTCTTGGGATAAATAGTTGCATAGGTGAAGAAAAAACTGATAATGTGCCACTGACTTAATTGGTTACCGCTTCAATAACTATTCAATTTGGTGGTGCAAATTGGATCTCCTAAATTAAAGAAAAAAAGCTCCAACATTAATAATCAAAATCGCATAAATTAACTGTAAATTAAGCCGTCCTGTAAAATATTTATAAAAGGCAGAATTTTGAACCACCAATCCCCTGTCTTTGTTTCATTGCGGATATTGTATTAATTGTATTTATTAAATTAATAACTAAGTGTGAGATGCGGATAAAAGTGAAGCTTTGACACAAATGGATTCCACGTACATAAACTGAAAGTTTCTGTGTAAATTCTTCAAACCAAAAGCTGTTTAATAGTGTTTTCTTTTGGACATATACTTAAATTGTGCGTGGATGTAACAGCCAAGAAATTTATTGTTGAGATGACTTAAAAATAGTATTTCGGACAGCTTTTTTTAATTTTGTAGTCGGTGCCGTTGATCCTACTCAAACAGCGATTGGAGCTGTTGATCCGACAAGAACTGCGATTGGTGCCGTGGATCCAACGAAAACTGCTATTGGTGCTGTGGATCCCACTCGAACTGCAATTGGTGCCGTTGATCCAACAAAAACTGCTATTGGTGCAGTAGACCCCACTCGAACTGCTATTGGGGCTGTTGATCCAACAAAAACTGCTATTGGTGCTGTAGATCTTACCCGAACAGCTATTGGAGCTGTTGATCAGACTCGAACTGCGATTGGTGCTGTGGATCCAACGAAAACTGCCATCGGTGCAGTAGACCCCACTCGAACTGCCATCGGTGCAGTAGACCCCACTCGAACTGCCATCGGTGTTGTAGATCCCACTCGAACCGCTATCGGTGCAGTAGACCCCACTCGAACTGCTATTGGGGCTGTTGATCCAAC